CACTGAGGACCTGACGTGGACTCTTCACTGAGGACCTGACGTGGACTCATCACTGAGGACCTGACATGGACTCTTCACTGAGGACCTGACATGGACTCTTCACTGAGGACCTGACATGGACTCATCACTGAGGACCTGACATGGACTCTTCACTGAGGACCTGACATGGACTCTTCACTGAGGACCTGACATGGACTCATCACTGAGGACCTGACATGGACTCTTCACTGAGGACCTGACATGGACTCTTCACTGAGGACCTGACATGGACTCTTCACTGAGGACCTGACATGGACTCATCACTGAGGACCTGACATGGACTCTTCACTGAGGACCTGACATGGACTCTTCACTGAGGACCTGACATGGACTCATCACTGAGGACCTGACATGGACTCATCACTGAGGACCTGACATGGACTCTTCACTGAGGACCTGACATGGACTCTTCACTGAGGACCTGACATGGACTCTTCACTGAGGACCTGACATGGACTCATCACTGAGGACCTGACATGGACTCTTCACACCACCACCATCACCAAAAGAGCTCGACAGCGGCTCTTCTTCCTCCTCCGCAGGCTGAGGAGGTTCAACATGGACTCCAGGATACTCTGCAACTTCTACAGGTGCGCCATAGAGAGGATCCTGACCTTCTACAGCTGCACCATAGAGAGGATCCTGACCTTCTACAGGTGCACCATAGAGAGGATCCTGACCTTCTACAGGTGCACCATAGAGAGGATCCTGACCTTCTACAGGTGCACCATAGAGAGGATCCTGACCTTCTACAGCTGCACCATAGAGAGGATCCTGACCTTCTACAGGTGCACCATAGAGAGGATCCTGACCTTCTACAGCTGCACCATAGAGAGCATCCTGACCTTCTACAGGTGCACCATAGAGAGCATCCTGACCTTCTACAGGTGCACCATAGAGAGCATCCTGACCTTCTACAGGTGCACCATAGAGAGCATCCTAACCTTCTACAGGTGCACCATAGAGAGGATCCTGACCTTCTATAGGTGCACCATAGAGAGGATCCTGACCTTCTACAGGTGCACCATAGAGAGCATCCTGACCTTCTACAAGTGCACCATAGAGAGCATCTTGACCTTCTACATGTGCTCCATAGAGAGGATCCTGACCTTCTACAGGTGCACCCTAGAGAGCATCCTGACCTAATACAGGTGCCCAATAGAGAGGATCCTGACTGGCTGCATCACGACCTGGTACGGCAGCTGCACCACCCTCAATCGTAATACTCTACAGAGGGGGTTGAAAACTGCATAGCAAATCACCAGGACGGAGCTGCCATCCATGGAGGACCTCTACTCCCAGCGGCTCAGGAAGAAAGCCCTCAGGGAACGTATGGAGAGCAAAATTAACGGTTAAGATAATTTTGTTAGCCTTTTTGAGAATAAACAACATAACCAGCTTTCAGGAAAAGCTTGCATTGTTTTTTAATTAAAATGTGTCCATTATCCTTTTGTACCTGCAGTGTAGCATAAACATGTCCAAAGAGTTGTTTTTCTTTAAAAGCCCCGCCATTCTCCAAACAGCTCTTCCTCGGTCTGTAAGCCTTCTGCCTAACCCTACGTTTTCTGTCAAAGAATACAATAAAGTGACTAAGGCCATCCCAGTTCCTATTAAAACAATGATTCAATCGTTTTTGATAAACTCTTTTGAATTACATTTATCCATCTATTGACTTTTAATTGGTAAAACCACATGCAGATTTTGTGAGAAAGACATCGAGACTGGAACATATTTTTCTTCCAATGTGAACCTGTTCTACAAGAGGTTGAGCTTCAATTCAAATGTATATCAATACACCCTATTCATTTAATGTCTATCATAGGTGGAGTATTTTTAAAAGAAAACATGTGGAAATGTTGGTTAATAATTTGATCTGGTTAAGCAAACACTTCATACACATACAGTATATGCAAATATCTAAAGGTTAAACCCCACTTCGCTGGATGGAAGAACGAACTTAACATTTTTGCAGTCACTTCATTACTGCTTATTTTTATTTTATCTATACTATATTTGCACCATTTAATGTTATTAACTGAAAATAAGTTGCAGAAAACGGACCTTTATGTGTGTATATAATTATATTTATATATGTAACATTTCTAGATCATTTTGTTGCATCAAGTAGAATTTGACTGTTTAACAAAGTTCTGAAAAACAAATGTTTAGAAATGCATTTTGTTAAAAGTAGCTAAAACTGTTAAATAAATGTAGTGGAGTAAAATGACAAACACATTGCACTTGTTCAGATCAGATTCAGATTCAACTTTATTGTCATCACATAGTACATGTACTAGTGACGAAATGTAAGTTTAGGTATCTGACCAGAAGTGCAAAATAGCAGTGCAGGAGTCTACATAATGAGAATAATTATACATAGAATTATTATAAATAGAATAATTATACATAGGCTATAAACAGATGAATATATACAGTGTAAACGGCATTGACAGTAGAATATATAAATAGGTGGATGGTGGGTATGGGCTTGAGTCTATCAGCGGGCAGAGTTCAGCAGGGTAACAGCCCTGGGGAAGAAGCTGACCCTGAACCTGCTGGTCTTGGACCGGAAGCGCCTCACAGAGGGTAAGAGGACAAACAAAATAGTTTGCAGGATGAGAGGTGTCTTTGACGATGTTGTGAGCCCTCTGCAAACACCGTATCCCCTGGATGTCCTCGATGGCAGGGAGTGGGACACCGATGATGCGTTGGGCGATTTTCGTCACCCTCTGCAATGCCTTCCTGTTGAGCATTGTGCAGTTCCCATACCAGGCTGTGATACAGCTGGTCAGGATACTCTCAATGGTGCAGCGATAGAAGTTCACCAGAATCTGAGGAGAGAGGTGATCTTTCTTTAGTCTCCTCAGGAAGAAGAGACGCTGGTGAGCCTTCTTTACTATGCTGGTGGTATTGTTGGACCATGAGAGGTCATCGGATATGTGGACCCCCAGGAACTTGAAGCTAGACACACGCTCCACCGCCGTTCCATTTATGTGGATGGGAGTGTGTGTGTTGCCTTTCGATCTCCTGAAGTCCACAATGAGTTCTTTTGTTTTTGTTGTGTTAAGGGCCAGGTTATTGTCAGCACACCACTCAGTCAGATGCTGAACCTCCTCCCTGTAGGCTGTCTCATCGTTGTTGTGGATGAGGCCAATCACCGTTGTATCGTCTGCATACTTGATGATGGTGTTTGAACCATGTACAGGGGTACAGTTGTGGGTGAAGATGGAGTAGAGGAGGGGGCTCAGCACGCAGCCTTGTGGGACACCGGTATTTAGGCTGAGGGTCATGGAAGAGAGATTATCCAACCTGACATGCTGGGGTCTGTTGGTTAGAAAGTCTAAAATCTAATTACAGAGGGGGACGTTGATGCCCAGGTCGTTGAGTTTTGTGATTAGTTTGGAGGGGATGACGGTGTTGAAGGCTGAACTGAAGTCGATGAACAGCAGTCTTGCATAGGAGTTGATTTTTTCCAGATGTGAGAGGACGGTGTGAAGTGTTAAGGAAACATCATCTTCCGTGCTCCTATTAGTCCGGTATGCAAATTGATAGGGGTCCTGTCCACTGTCGGTGATAGGTGGAATTTAAGCTGTGCTAGGACCAACTTCTCGAAGCACTTCATGAGAATGGGTGTAAGTGCAACGGGACGGAAGTCATTCAGGCCTGCTGCAGCAGAGTGTTTGGGCACTGGCACTATGGCGGTGGTTTTAAAGCACATGGGGACAACAGTTTGGGCCAGGGACAGGTTGAAAATGTCCGTCATGACCTCAGTCAGTTGCCCAGCACAGGCTCTGAGAACGCGGCCTGAGATGCCATCGGGTCCAGCAGCCTTGCGTGCATTAATCCTGCTCAGTGTGGTGAAGACGTCAAAAGGTGAGAGTGTGAGAGGCTGGTGGTCTGCAGGGGGGAACAGCCTTAGTGGCTGTCTGCTGGTTATCCCTGTCGAAGCGAGCATAGAAATCATTCAGCTCGTTGAGGAAGGAGATGTCGTTTGACGGGAGAGGGGGTGGTGGGTTTGCAGTCAGTGATGGCCTGAATGCCCTGCCCTCAATCCTCAGTTTGTAGCAGTGCTTGGCCTTCCTAATGCCCTTCTTTAGGTGAGCCCTGGATAAACTGTAAGCCCGTTCGTCACCTGATCTGAAGGCGATGTTCCGTGCTTTCAGTAGTTGGCGAACTTCTTTATTCATCCACGGCTTCCGGTTTGGGTACGATGTTATCTGCTTCAGAGTGGTGACACTGTTGATGGTAGTGCTGATGTAGTCCAGTACGGAGGAGGCGTAGTGGTCAATGTCTGTATGGGAATCCAAGGTGGCCTGGGTGGCAAACACATTCCAGGCTGTATGTTGAAACTTGTCCTGTAGCATAGAGTCTGCCTCCTCAGGCCATACCTTGACAGTCCTCACTGTGGGTTTCACACGTTTGATGAGTGGTGTGTATGTGGGGTAAAGGAACAGTGAGAGGTGGGGAGGGGAATGGCATTGTATGCATTGGCCATGTTGGTGTAAACATGATCCAATGTTTTGTTGCCTCTCGTGGGGCAGGAGACATGTTGTCGGAATTTGGGGAGTACAGTCTTCAAACTGGAGTGATTGAAATCACCCGCAACAATGAAAGCTGCCTCAGGGTGTGCAGTTTGTTGTTGGCTAATGGCTGTGTGCAGTTCTTTCATTGCAATTTTGGCATTAGCATCCGGGGCTACATATACGGCTATTACGGCTATTACTAGGATTCTTAGTTACTTCTCCCCTCGTGAACATAGGAGACACATTTAGTGAATTAGCAATAATGATTTCAAACACTAAATTGTTGGAGACTTAATGCTGGACACATGCTGATAAAACAAAAGCAAGAAGTTTGCCTTTCAAAAAACAGCTCTCTGGAAGAGGGAAAGTGACTCATGGTGGGAGGGTTCCTGTGAGTGGAGGACTTGCATGACTTGTTGAGCCTGTCTCTTCCCCAAAGCTCAGCACATGATGTTCAGCAGGGAGAGCTGCTCCTGAGACACGGGGACAGGCTGAGACACGGGGACAGGCTGCAACATGGACAGGCTGAACGGAGAGGACATAGCTCTGAATAAACTGGGGGATATAGAGGTAGACAATGCAGACCTCTCCCATTACTGTTCTATTATGCTCTACTCTATTCTTTTCCATCTAATGTTTCTCCCCATACTGTTCTTTCTGTCTTCTGACTTATTCTATTCTTATGTTCTGTTCTATTTAAGGTTCTATTCAATCCTCATTTGTGTTTATGGTCTGCTGTATTTCATCTATTTTCAATTCTATTCTATTTTATGTTGTGTTCTATTATCTTTTCTTTTTTTCAAAGTTCTGTTCCGTCTTTTTTCTGGTTTAGTTTGTTCTATTTAATGATCTGCTGTATGTTGTACTTTTTGTTCTATGTTATGTTCAGTACTGCTCAATTCTAATGTTGTTTAGTTTCTTATGTTTTCTCTTCTGTTTTATTCCTATCGGTCTTTTACAACAGGACTGTTGACTAACTTAAAACACTTTGGTAAGGGCTGTGAATAGATCATATTTCAATCAGATACAAAGGATAAGCAGCTTCATGTTATACTTCATAACTTCAGCTATGACCCTTAATATTAATGAATGCACCATCCACTAAGGATGTAATTGCACATTTTTGCTTTTAGAGAATAGCAGAGGAATAACAATAGCTGATTCTAACATTTCTGAAAGTGCAGATGTTTAGAAGATGATCATCTTACTATATAAAGTATTCCTTATCTTGTTACTGATCATAGCACTGAACAGACACATTCTGTATGTGAATATAAACGTTAGATGCTGTTGGAGATCTAAGTGACACCACATGGAAGTCTAACTCTCCGGCCTGCAGTCATCACTGTATTAGACTATATGATGACGTATGTGGAGAAACATGCTTATCCAAAGAGGGGCCAAACACCAGGTTCCAAACTTTTTTTTTGCACAAAACAAAAATGCTGTTGACTATTGAACCCCTCTAGCAGCTGCGGGTGTTGACCAGTTACACCGTCGTTAAAGGCTAGAAATATCCAGTTATACTCAAAAAAGCCAAAGTGTACAGAAGAGTAAAGACTTGACCCCCAGGTTGGAAGCCACTATCGAAACACAGGAATGTCAGCGGTGACTTGTGAAGTCAGTGTTTCTGTCTACAGTTGTCAGCTGTTCATTGAGATGAATGAAAGCTGTGTGACTCAGACAGATCTCACCCAGGTGGAACATCTCCTCTCGCTGTGTTACAGGACGGGGCACGTCCCTGAGAGAAACCCTTCGCCACTGATGTGCTTTAACAAACAGAGCACACGTTCTCTCAGTGGAGCAGAGCGACAGCAACGCTTACCTGTCCTCTGGTTTGACTCAAATCACAGATGCATGTTTGCACATGTTTGTGTGAGAAATTGCCAGGTTATTTGAGTTTTAGGAAAAGAATGTCCCACAGTGTGTGTACGTGTACGTGTCGCTGTGCCGCTCCCATTTCTCTGACAACCTGAGTACACAAAGAGCATAGTAACAAAATGAATAACACGTCTGTGTTTTGATTCAAGCTTTGTGACGCGTGAACACAGACCATTCAGATTTGTGAAAGAGAACACAAAATAACAGTTCAACATGTAACCCATGCTGTCAAAGGGATATTGAGTGTGCAAAGGTTATGGCAGATAGTAAAACAAGGCCCCTGTCTTACACAGGAGCAGGAAATAGATGCGTAGTTTTGTAGTCTTTATTGACATATTGTGTCACTTTGTATACCTTTGGTCTCTTTGTGGGGGTTTTGTGTCTCTTGTAGTTGCTTTGTTTCTCTTGTAGTTGCTTTGTTTCTCTTGTAGTTGCTTTGTTTCTCTTGTAGTTGTTGTGTGTCTTTGGAATCCGTTTTATGTATCTTTATTTCCCCCTTTTCAAAGATGCCAGTCTCTTTGCAGCTGTTTTGTAGTTACTTTGAGTCTCTAGCTGGCTGGTACGTGCTTTTTCTTCAAATTATATGTTCTAGTTGAAGACGAGGGGGTCCAGTCCACTGACACATGTGGCCCCTGTGCCTGTGTCCAATTGTTCGATTTTGATATGGCCAGTAATTCATCCATGTGACTATGGCTGTAAAATAACACCTGTGTGACCTGGAACCTAACATCCTCCTCTCCTCTCCTCTCCTTTCCTTTCCTTTCCTTTCCTTTCCTCTCCTTTCCTTTCCTTTCCTTTCCTCTCCTCTCCTCTCCTCTCCTGCAGGCGGGGCCAGCCCCACATGGGAAAGCGGGCCGGCCCATCAACATGAATCACTACGCCACAAAGAAGAGTGCGGCTCAGAGCATGCTGGACGTGGCCCTGCTGATGGCCAACTCGTCCCAGCTGAAGAGCGTCCTCTACGTGGGGCCTCACTACCGGTTCTACCTGCCCCTCCTCGTGCTGCTGTCTCTGTCCATCACTCTACAAGTGATGGTGGGGCTGCTCCTCATCTTTATCGGCAAGTCACTCTTTGCATCTCCATTGTTATTATTCCCTCTGTTGCACTTTAAATGCAGAACTCTGATCCTGGAATCTTAAATGGGGAAAATAATCAAAAGCATGTGTTTTAACAGACAGGGTTAAGAGAGTTACTTAAACAATGGAACCTAACTTACATTTCAAACAATGTAATCAGTAACTTCATCGATGTATCACAATATAAAAGTAACCTGATTACTTTCAGCTACTTTATGGTTACTGTACCTCGATATCAAATGCAATGTATACAATGTATATAAGAGAGAACATAAATAATAATCATATTTTCTCTACTTAAGGTTATTATGTAAAGCAACACAACAATATGATCTAAGAAGAAAACAGGGAGTTTTGTATAAAAAAGGCCCACAGAATAGTAGTTTACAAATTCTTTATTAGTTTAAAACATTTATTAAAAGCAAACACAGTATTTTTGGATAATAAATCAGGTGTCCAGCTACTCATATGTATATATATATATATTGTAACTTTGTAATCCTCCTAATAACCCCCATTTTTGAAAAATGTATCAGTAATCTGATTACACATTGTTTTAAATATATCTGTAAGGGAATAAAGTGACCTTTCTTTTAGTATCCTGATTACTTCTTCTAGTTATATGTAATCCGTGATCAATCAAGAGAGGGCAATCCAAGTTGAAAGCAAGCTCCATCCTTGTCTCATCACGAAAACACAACACCAGTTTCCTTCAATAAAAGGTCATAAGGTCGTCCCTCTGTCCCTCTGTCCCTCTGTCCCTCTGTCCCTCTGTCCCTCTGTCCCTCTATCCCTCTGTCCCTCTGCGTCTCTGCGTCTCTGCGTCTCTGCGTCTGTGTGTCTGTGCGCCTCTGCGTCTGTGTGTCTCTGTGTCTCTGTCTCTGCGTCTCTGCGTCTCTGCGTCTCTGTGTCTCTGCGTCTCTGTGTCTCTGTGTCTCTGTGTCTCTGTGTCTCTGTGTCTCTGTGTCTCTGCGTCTCTGTGTCTGTGTGTCTCTGTGTCTGTGTGTCTGTGTGTCTCTGCGTCTGTGTGTCTCTGTGTCTCTGTGTCTCTGTGTCTCTGTGTCTCTGCGTCTCTGTGTCTCTGCGTCTCTGCGTCTGTGTGTCTGTGCGCCTCTGCGTCTGTGTGTCTCTGTGTCTCTGTCTCTGCGTCTCTGCGTCTCTGCGTCTCTGCGTCTCTGTGTCTCTGTGTCTCTGTGTCTCTGTGTCTCTGTGTCTCTGTGTCTCCGCGTCTCTGTGTCTCTGTGTCTCTGGCTCATCAGCTTCATGCGGCTCATTTAGTTGTTGCTCGATGTGATTCTGTGCCAGCAGTGAAGTACGATCTGAACGATGTGAGGAAACACGCCAAGTTAAACAGGATGAACAACGCAGCCACATTGTTCGTCTTCTTCACCGTCCTCGTCAACATCTTCATCACAGCACTGGGATTCGAGGGATATTCTGTCAGGTAGGCCGTTACTATGGAAGAGTATAACGGGATAGAGAGGAGGAAGTGTTGAGAACAAATGGCAGTGGAGAACACAGTCCAAAAGTGGATCAAAATGTCCAGGATCAAATCAAAATGTCAAGAATAAATTGAAATGGACAAGAACACATTTAGGATGTTTAGCATAAAGAGGAAATATGTTTTATCTTGCAGTATCAGAGCATGTAAAGGCCAACGTTTGTCTTTACATTTTGACAATTCAAAATACACAAATCTCGTCCAGAAGCCTTTCTTATGTCATGAAGCTTGTTCTTGTTTGACTTCCCAGGTCACCAATGTCACCTGTGATGTTGCCAGAGCATCATCACTCCCTCCTGCCCAACGACCTCAACAACACTTCAGGCCCACTCACTGCTGTTGAACTCAATGCAACCACCGATTGACTACCAAAAACCTCAACTCAATCACATGACCACTGCCTTGAGCTAATAAGATTCCACCACACTAATGCAGAACAATTATTTTGATCTTGTAAATATAACATATTTTTGTTCACATGTTAGATTGTTGGAATAAATCTTAAGTTTTGTAACTAAATAGTTGTATGTGTATTTGACAGTATGAATGGAAACGTGTCTTCTATTCTGCAAATATTTAACTCTCGTTCTGAGCTCGATTGCATTTTTGCATCCTTTAGGAATTAATCTCCAATGATTTTTTGACAGAAAGCTCAAAAACTCTCAGAGCAGGGGAACGTATGGATACATTCATATTTATTAACCCAACTACACGACAGCCTTTGATTTTTGATTGGAAGCGCTATTAGGACGGCCTGTAGCCTGTTGCGCCACATGATATGATCACATACTGTATATTATCTCAGTCAAAACAAATCATAGAGCAGCTGCAAAATAAAAAATGATTAACTTGGTCTCTGCACTCAGGGAAAACATAGTTTGACATGCCATGCAAGAAAGCAAAGAAAAGGAGAGTACATTATTCTTTATTTTGTACTATTATCAACTAATTATTCCATAATGGTTCCCTAACCTGTCTGTCACTCTCAGCCACTGGTTCTATTGAAGATGGACAACTTTGTTTGGGACTATTTTCAGTGGCGGATTCATCTACATTGTTGCTGTAGTATTTGGGCCAGAGGATGGTGCATGTGGGACTTTGTCAATATATACTACACAGTGTGTGTGTGTGTGTTCTTGGAGGAACAGGCTTGGTGTTCACATTTCTTAAAAAAATAGCCAGAAATGAGAGCAGGAACAGTCAGATTTGTGGGTCTGCTTCTCGAGTTATGTTTTTGGGTCACCTCGACCACCAGTGAACGACATATTGTTGCAAGCTATGGTTTTCCGACGTGGTATGGTTTTTGGAAGTGTCTCTCGTTACACTGGAGAAATTGTGCACTGCCTTTGTAGGACAAAAGTACACATTTCAATGAAAATCTACAGGTGCAGGTAAAAAAAAAAAAAAAACGTAGGCAAGAAAAAGACAAAACATCCACAAAGTGTATTAAAAGCTATTACAAATATTTTAATTGTGGGATATTTGGATCCAACAGAGATCTTTTTTAGGCATTGTCAAATACCTAACAAAGCACAAACAATATGACCTGTATGATTGACAGGCAATCTGCTCACAAGTTGGACCAATCAATGCTACAAATAAAACCTTCACCGCCAAAATGACACCGCTACATTCAGAAATGCAGTAATTGAACTAAACATGATTGAGGGACACCATTTCAATGAAATATATATTTATTATAAAAGACAAATGATTGAAATCAATAATTTCTTGTTGGTCAGGGGGAGGGGAGTCTGATAGCCCCCTCCCAATAGGCTCTTCCTACACAGATCATACTCTGTCTGGTTTTGTTCATTTCACTGACTTAGTGACACAGAGAACTAGAATGTTCCTGCCTTTAAGGCATGTGGTCACTCTCTCTACTGCTAACACTATTGGAGAAGAAATGACATGATAACATCCGATCATTGAATCCCAGAAGGATCCTCTTCATTGTTGACCACCCGGCAGTATGCGTAGTAGACGGCTGCTGCTAACACGGCTAGCAGCAGCAGCAGCCGGACCCCCTTCCACACGCTGCAGCCCGACTCCTTCATTCCTGGTGCTGCGCTGTGATTGGCTGTTCTCTTACTGATCTGGACAGGGGGCCTGACGCACAGAGGGAGGAAGACATTTAGAGCGGGCGATGAAGCTGTTTGCCCAAATACAGCACTCGTTTTTAGACCATAGACTTACTCTGTGTATTGGAGCGGTTCCTCCTCTTTATCTGGCTCAGCGTTGCCTCTACGTCTCACACTGAATGGAGAAACAATTAACAATTACATTTCAATTAGGCAATAGAGTGGTGCAGGAATGGGTCCTTAAACATAGAAACAAGTCAGCATTTCACCACTTCCAGTTACCTTTTCTTGAAGTCAACGGTTTTTTGAACGTGTTTATGGTTAGATGCCTGAAATAAGACCTGTCATTAACTCATGCTAAAAAATATGTTGTTTTTGTTCTACGAGATGAAATGCGTCAGTAGTTGACCACTGGGGAATGTCTGAAGATCTTAAAGAGGTCCTATTATACCTATTTGGCTAGCGCTCCAACACATTATACGGAATATGCTAAGGGCTAGGACATTTCCCACTCATCTCTAAGCGGTCAACCACCCAGCTAGCGGGGAACGTTCTCACAACTTTGGCTAACGTTACCTACAGGTTCTAATAAGGTTTTAAAGAAACGTTTTTAATCTGATGTTCAAAGAACCTTTTTAGGATGTTTATTTTTTCAAATAATGTTCCTATAAGGTTTAAGGTTAACTAAGACATAACGTTTTAACTGCAACATTCAGAGGATGTTTTCAGGATGTTATTGAGGCCTGAGATGACAGAACATCTTTTTATAAAACGTTCCTTTAATGTGATATGTTAACAAAGGTGGAACGTTTTGCCTGCAACATTCTAAGGATGTGTTTTGGACGTTGTTGGGTAATACATTAAAGATGTTCTTTATAAAACGTTCCCTCAATGTTACATGATAACAAATGAAGAACATTCTCCAAGAAACATTCTGAAAATGTTTTCAGGATGTTATTCTTTTTTTATAAAACGTTCCTGCTATGGCAAATATTAACACGGTCATGGTCAACGTCAGATTTATTTCTAGAGCGCTTTAAAAAACAAACTTGTTGCATTTGTTTGAAAAGGATGTTTAAAAAAAATCTGATGTCACCACATTTTCCTTTTGAAAAAACAAACATGCACGTAATTCATGATAAGCTGTAAGCAGATATTGCATGTCTTTAAAAACATTCTTGAAATGTTTGGTGATAACCTTCTTAAGATGTTTTTGATAACATTGTTAGAACATTGTGTCCTACTGTTCTTAAAACGTTTTCAGCGGGACGTTTTATTTTGGTTCCCAGAATGTTCTTAGGCCCACAGTGTTCATAATATCATTTGTGTAAAATATCAGAAAATAATCACACTTTTTTCCGACTATAGGTTGTGTCTCGTATGTAGGTTCTAACTGTTAGATAAGCTATCTGAACGTGTGGTTTGTGAGGGCTGCGTATAAACAGTTTCACTGTTTATGCATAGTGGATACAAATCGTTATTGCACCCTTTAGATTTGAGACCGACAGACATATAGAGGAACGGACCGACTGTCACTGCCCGTCCCTGAAACCCCTGTTAGTGTTTGTATGTGTTTGTTTCTACTGTGTGTCTCTCTCTCTGCCTGCTGGTCTGCTCTACACGGCTGGGAGCAACCTCCAATCAACCACACCTGCAACCGGCTCATCAGCCACACTATGAAAGCCTGCAGCCTGCACTCATTCCCTGCTGGATTGTTGCCGTGAACGGTTTGTTGCGTGCCGCTCTAGCTTTTTACCAGCATATCTCATATTCTTTGACAGCTTTGCCTTCCTTTGCCTCACACTCATTTGTATGTCTCTCCCAGGAGGAATCCAAGGCCTCCACACTCCCAAGACCAGCCAGGCCTCTCCACTCTGGAACAACTGTTTCCCACTGCTGCCATAACCAACCTCCACTCCCAGCTCCCCTTTTCTAATACACACATGTTACTTTCACCAGCTGATTCCGAGTCATAATTGTACATGTGTTAATAGTCAAATTCCAATAGTTAAGTAAACTATCAAAATCATCCTAATGACCACAGAGGTCAGTGCACTTACCCAGGAACTTTGAGTTGAACAATTACAGGAATATTATGTCTTTATGTTCTAATAATGTAAACATATTTTTAGTAAATTGTTACCACAGAACATTTGCATAATGTTTTAAACATAAAGCATGTTATCCTTCTCTCAAATAATAACATTCTGGCAACAAAAACAAATCTAACTTGCAGCTGAAAACATTTAAGAACAGTAGGGCATAATGTTCTCACAATGTTATCAACAACATTTTAAGAATGTTTTTAGCGAACGTTATCCTACCTTTCAGAAGAACGTTTTGGAAACCAAAAGAAAACTTCTCGCTGAAAACATTCCTAGAACAATGACTGTAACATTCTCAGAATGTTTTTAGAACCAAAAATTTCTAGCTGGGCCAATCACAACAGAGCCGGCCAGCTAACCAATCAGAGCAGACTGGGCTCTGGTTTCAGACAGAGGGTGAAAAGAGGTGCTGCAGCACAGGCAGTATGAGAACAATAAAGAGCTTTTAGAACATTAAAGCATGGAGACATGTAGAGACACTACATACTGATATACACCTGGACATCAGCAGGAGAGGACTCTTTAAAGTAGAGACACTACATACTGATATACACCTGAACATCAGCAGGAGAGGACTCTTTAAAGTAGAGACACTACATACTGATATACACCTGGACATCAGCAGGAGAGGACTCTTTAAAGTAGATACACTACATACTGATATACACCTGAACATCAGCAGGAGAGGACTCTTTAAAGTAGAGACACTACATACTGATATACACCTGAACATCAGCAGGAGAGGACTCTTTAAAGTAGAGACACTACATACTGACATACACCTGAACATCAGCAGGAGAGAACTCTTTAAAGTAGAGACACTACATACTGATATACACCTGAACATCAGCAGGAGAGGACTCTTTAAAGTAGAGACACTACATACTGATATACACCTGAACATCAGCAGGAGAGGACTCTTTAAAGTAGAGACACTACATACTGATATACACCTGATCATCAGCAGGAGAGGACTCTTTAAAGTAGAGACACTACATACTGATATACACCTGAACATCAGCAGGAGAGGACTCTTTAAAGTAGAGACACTACATACTGATATACACCTGAACATCAGCAGGAGAGGACTCTTTAAAGTAGAGACACTACATACTGATATACACCTGAACATCAGCAGGAGAGGACTCTTTAAAGTAGAGACACTACATACTGATATACACCTGAACATCAGCAGGAGAGGACTCTTTAAAGTAGAGACACTACATACTGATATACACCTGAACATCAGCAGGAGAGGACTCTTTAAAGTAGAGACACTACATACTGATATACACCTGAACATCAGCAGGAGAGGACTCTTTAAAGTAGAGACACTACATACTGATATACACCTGAACATCAGCAGGAGAGGACTCTTTAAAGTAGAGACACTACATACTGATATACACCTGCACATCAGCAGGAGAGGACTCTTTAAAGTAGAGACACTACATACTGATATGAACCTAAAGATGAGCTAAATATTTTCTTTAAAAAAACAGCAGTTGCTAACAAGTGAAACATTAGCTGCCTTTAGCTTTACGGTGCAGCCATGAGACTATAAAGAAGTGTTTTTTTTAGAACCTTACTTTAGCTTTTTACTTGATATTGCATTTACGCAAATCCCAAAAGTGATGTTGGTATGTGGATATCATCCTTCACTTGTCATCATTCAAATGTGAAATTGCATGATGAACACATTCAATGAACTAACTGACAAACAACCTGGGGCAGGCAGGTGTTCTGGAAGTTCCTAAACAGCCATATACAGTAACAGGGGGTTACTGATAAACTGGTGCCACCTCACAGGCTCATCAGGTTTTTGACGTGTGTGTGTGTGTGTGTGTGTGTGTGTGTGTGTGTGTGTGTGTGTGTGTGTGGTTGACTCTACTCACACATCAGAATTCACTTCTTGTCTGACCTGTGAAATGAAAGCAGAAGTTTGTGAGATTATTTACAGTAACAGAGGAATCAGACCCAGAGGGATGATGGGACATCAGGACTCACCGGGCTGTGGTGGTATGTGATGTAGGTTACTTCCTCCACTGTAAAGAATAAAAAGACTCATAATTATAATTTGGCACAGATTTATCGACTCTACTGACTTTGAAAGTTTAAGGATAAGATGAAGAATAATACATTTACATGTTATTAGCTGACCCTTTTTATCCAAAGCGACTTACATGCACGTGAATACTGTAGACATGCCTACATGAGTGATTGTGTAGTTTGGTATCTTGCCCAAGGACACTTGTATTGAGGAAAAAGGTGCCTGACTAAGGATGTATAACAAGAATCACCGGCAGCCCAACGATTTGAATTATTATGCGTCCGTGCTGTGTATTGCAATAACAATCCAGTGCATTATTCTTTTCCTTATATCTCTATTTGTTTTGACAAACTTTTTGCTAATTCCGCTGACCTCACCAAAAACAAAGTTAAATTTGTCTGTGCATATTAATCATTTATACAATAAAAAGACCAATAATTAGAGCTCAATTCAATATTGCCATGCAAAACATCAACAACAAAAAACACCACTATCCACCTGCTTCTTTAAAATCCCTAAATGTTCTGGTGCCAACCATCATCATCAACTCCGTCACAAATAAATCCAGTGACAAACGGCATACCCTCCTCTCTGTAGAACGTCTTATCAGGCGAGGGTACTTCCACCGGAGCATCCTCCATGGCCTTCTCAAGCTTCTTCTCATACAGCTTCCGTGTAGAGTCTGTTTACACACACACACACACACACACACACACACACACACACACACACACACACACAACACACACACACACACACACACACACACACACACACACACACACACACACACACACACACAACACACACCACACACACACACACACACACACACACACACACACACACACTGCTTCAATATCTTTACCACAGATTACAGAAATGTACACAAAATGACTTCTCTGCATCGACTTTGGAGAAATATATAGATTTAGGCTGAAGTGGAATAGTCCATTTAGCTTAGGAACCTTCCTAACGGAGTGAAATGACCCGGAAGTCCCTCAGTGGCAGCCATGATAAGAGCCGTTCCAATTCTCTAGGTGATAGGAAAGGAGGTTTCAAACTTCCTTTATAACCTCCTTTAGCTTAGGAACCACTGGACCTCCCTAACCGAAAGGAGAGGAGAAAATGCTGCCCCACAATGCATTGCAGACGCAGCATTTGCCGTCACTCAACAGTCGGCCGTTCACGGAAACCACCGATTATGACCGAGAAATGATATCATGAAAGTTACGGTGCTTATTAAGCATTTTAAAACGTATGTGGTAAGTTGCCAAAGTGCTTTGTTCTGAACGTTCATCAGTATTATAATCAAAGAGAGAAATATGAACTTTAGTTTTTACTGAAATGATCAAATAAAGTCAACATTTCACAGTCTTTACTGAGCTGTGGGGTTTGTTCAACTTTTAAAAGATGTTTGAATGGTGATATACACAGTGATAGATGTTAAAGGTGGGGTAGGTAAGTTTCAGAAAGCGGCTCGAGTGCACTAACATTTGAAAGTACACAGCCGAAAAGAATCCGCCCCTTCCTTCAGACTTCCTTACAGAGCACCTCCTCCAACACACATGAACGCGCACATGACGTCAGCAGACTGGTGAAAGTGGCCGCCTGTTGCTGGCGAGTCATTGAAGTACTGCTGCAATGAACGCCCAATGACGGCACGCCCAATGAGGGCACGAGATACATTTGTGCGTGCACGAGATGGAAGGCTGACAGACAGGGCGGCAATCCAATCTGTTTATCCGGCCCGGCTAAACGGATTGGTTGTACTTTTTACAGTATTACGGCTTCCACAGATGACATTTTTTTATGTATTTGTTGTCAAAGCACTTAAGATATTCATTGCTATCGGATGTTAAGAGCATTCCATGGAATATAACAAAAAGTGTATCTCGAGCCGGTTTCTGAAACTTACCTACCCCACCTTTAAGGACTAACGGTTATAATACTGTTTTCTCGATTGCTAACACACTAAAATTCTACATAAAGCACAATTATTTTAACTAACATTGAAAGAGCAAAACATCGGCTCAAATCTCTAAAACTCTAAACACGTTTTCAGCTTTTCACACAATTTGCAAATCAACATGGCACTTTGTGCAAACCTCTGCACACGTCTCTCCACGTAAGACACAGGAATCTGACATAAAGTCACGTGTTAGCAGGTTTAAAACACTGATATTCAAAATGCCTCACACATGGATCAATGATCAAGAAACACGTTCCACCCGACCAAACACCTGAATGCATCATTGTTGGCTCATCAATCAGGATGTTAGCACTATAAAAAGACCACAGGTGAGTACTTTCTTACAGCAACAATGGAAGCCAACATGGAAGCAAGAGGAATAGGAAGAGCTGGGCTGAGAGTGAGAGGAGGAGGAAGAGGTGGGTGAGAGTGAGAGGAGGAGGAAGAGGTGGGTGAGAGTGAGAGGAGGAGGAAGAGGTGGGTGAGAGTGAGAGGAGGAGGAAGAGGTGGGTGAGAGTGAGAGGAGGAGGAAGAGGTGGGTGAGAGTGAGAGGAGGAGGAGGAAGAGGTGGTGAGAGTGAGAGTGAGAGGAGGAGGAAGAGGTGGGTGAGAGTGAGAGGAGGGAGAATGAGAGGTAGAGGTAGAGCTGGAGGGAGAGGACGTGGACAAAGAAGAATACTCTCTAATGAAATGAAATGTTATCAACCATGGTTTGACGATGAGAGAGGCTGGACATAGGGTTCAGCCTAATCTAAGCCGATGTACTGTTGCCTCTGTAATCCGGACACTTAGACTTGAAAACAGGTTAGTTACCAGTTTGTAGCTCTGCATAACTCATGATATATCAGAGCTTATATCTGTTGTGTGAAACATATTTACTTCATTACTGTAATTGAATTGTTGGCATGTAGCATACTATAACTGTACAGAAATCCTGCACAATGTACTGTGTTAAACTTACTTTGATACAACACAGACACTGACCGACCACTATGTCTTTGTTGTTTATCTGAAGGACTGAGAAACAAAGAGGTGGAAGGCTAAGGGTTTTCAATGAGGCATAGGAAGCTTCAGTTACAAACTGGGTTTGGGCAAACAGTGCATCACACTTAGAGAGATCCGAAGCATAGTAGCTATGTGCTGAGATGCTGCACAATGTTATCTTTGAATAAAATGTGATTTATTTCAACAACTCATTTGTATTTCTTCCTTTACTGTATTTCTGTAAACTCAAGCAATCTTTCTCTGCAGAACCCTCTCTGTACAGAGCATAGATGAACGTGCTTTAGAGTATGCTCAGCAGTGTACAGTTGGGTGGTCAAACAATCTAGTATTATGAATGAAGTGTTATATTTGGTGCTAAAGTTTGCATTTGGTAAGTGTTTATAGTTTTGAGTGCAGTTCTTCACTTAGCAGGAGAAATGAGGAGTTTGCACTTTGGGTGTGTGGTTTAGTGAATTGTGTTTAGTGTTCTGAGAAACTGAGCAATAAAAAAAAAACGTGTGTTAGCAATCGAGAAAAACTGTAAATACATTTGTATTGATTTTAAGATATTTTCATAGTTCATACGATCTTTGGGATCATTTGTATTAATGTGGACCGGAGGGAGAGGGTGACGAGCATAAGTTTCACTTTCCTTTTTTATTTCAATTCCAGCTTTGGTCATGAAGAATATGTTTCTCTGTTGTCCACGTTCATAAAGCATAAAACAACAGCATCAGAGCACGGTGCAGAGTCTCTAGATGAGTTTACAGTAGTCCCTCGTTCTTATTAAACATCCATGTTGTAGTCCTCTGTATAGAAAACTGTAGTTTCCATAGTTTCCCCACAGCAGCAGACGCACATTCATGACGTCCGCTGGCGCATCATAAACACGTCGGATAGTGAAAGTGCTGTCGGATTCTCTAAAGTACCGCAGTCTCTTCTCCTAAGTCCTTTTGAATTCTCCTATCCACTATCCCTTAACCCCGTGACGTTTCACTCAGAGGTCAAGGAATAGACGATAGGGTTAGACGTTAAGAGCTGATTGTTGGATTATCCGACCGCAAACTTAGATTTAAAATGCTTCATCATGTGAAAAAGTCAAATGAATATGTGTTTTATGAATATGGATTAGGAGTTTGATTATATCTAATCTTTAATTAGATGTAGTTTAGGGAATAAAACAGATGATTACTCAAAAGGTAAACAAAAACATGAGCAACTAGAAAAATATGTTAAACATTGCTGTGCAAACTGTGAATATTATTTTGGTCTGTGCAATGGACAGTGAACTCATTGAGGCTGTCATTGTTTCTGTCTGCCATCATCTTTTTTTCTTTCTATCACAATTATCATAATGGTATAATAACAGTTCTCCCTCCAACACTTACCACTAGTTAAACATCATTATGTCAGTAATGTGGGAACTTTCTTACCGACTATAGGTCCATGTGTGATGCCATACTCAGAGAGCAACTTGCTGAGCTCCTCGTCACTTTTCTCTCTCAAAGGCATCTGCAGACAGACCAAGGGACGGATATAGGATCAGAGAGATATGTAGAAACAGATAAGTAGAAAACAGGAGGTGGAAGAAGTACTCACATTATTTACTAAGGTAAAAGTAGCAATACTACAGTGTACAAATACTCAGTTACAAGTAAAAGTCCAGCATCCAAAATTGTACTTAAGTAAAAGTAAAAAAGTATTAGCATAAAAAAATACTTTACCAGAAGTATGCGTAATGCAAAATGGCTATTTTTAAGCACCAAGTGGGGTTTATTTGAATTCATGTCTACACTACATGGCTAGCAGGAGTATATACAGTCATTCAATTAGCTCCACCTTTACCAGCAGAGATTAACACATGCACATTAATGCATGGATAATCATAATTCAGTAAATGAATATATATATAATTCTAAAATTGGATATTACGCACAATAATTACGAATTTGCTTTTGTACTTGTATGTATATTTTCATGCAAATACTTGCATACTTTTACAAAGATAAGATTTTCTATGCAGGACTTTTACTTATAACAGTATTTTTCCACTGTATTATTTCCACTTTTACTTGTGTTAAATATCTGACTTCTGACTACTTCTTCAACCACTGTTATGTCAAATAAATGTAGTGGAGTAAGAAGTACAACATTTGCCTACAAAATGTAGTGAAGTAAAAGTATAAAGTAGTAACATCTAAAAATACAATTAAAATGTTTCACTTAGTAGTGAATGTACTTGGTTACATTACAGCACTGGAACAAACAGAAACCGAGTGGACGGACACTGCGCCCACAGTGAAGGCAACATTTGAAGTACTCTGTCCCGCCCTTTTATTCCCTGCTACACCTCGGCCACTGTCTGGCCATAACCTCTCAAAGCTGATAACCACATAAAACTTCGCGGCTTTTAAAAAAATAAATCTTGCACGCGTCTAAAACGCACGCGATTAAAAAGGGGAAGAAATAGTTCTTCATGCTTAACGTTAAAGTAAGTGTATAAGTCTTACCTTTGAAAAGACAAACGAGTTGAAAAGAGTGTAAAGCAGCTGCTGTGGAGCAGGGAGCAGGAGTGGGTGTAGCTGAGGCACATCCGTAGGACGTTTCTTGGCACACCTTCAGAACTACGAGCCTCCTCCTCCTCCTCGGTGGAACTGCGCATTTCCTTCTGGAAAGAGTCCACTGCTTCTTTATCTTCTACACAGAATAATTATGTGGTATCCAAGTGTACCGAAATACGCAGAGTGGAGATAAAGCCTATTTAATGGATTACTACCAGTCTTTTTCACGACTTTTTAACGTGCCAAAGTATGAAACCTATGCAGGGGTATACCTTATAGGCTACTTGAGTAAATGTACTTAGTTACTTTAAAGTAAATGGTGTACTTTTACCCCAGTACATTTATTTAATAGGCTACCTTTAGTTACTTTACAGACTTAAATTAGACTTTAGTTACACCTGGAGTAAATTCACAAGCTTTCCAGCAGTAATAAAGCAACTATTTATAAACAATACCCGCAACCTGTAGTTCCATGAGTGAATTATGTTAATTAGTTCATTAGTGATCACTACAATATAAAACATGTAGTAGGCCAACCCAGTCTCACAGCATTTCGTGTTATAGTCACGAAATTAATCCATTGATTCGTGTTCATCAACACGATTTCCCCCTTCTTCTTTTTTTTTTTTAAAAAAGAAAAAGATTTTAAAAGCAATGTATTTCTATTGGTAGTATGTTTCGTGCCTGCGTCTTTTTGTCCGGTTGGGTCTTGGAAGACCGGAAGCTGTGGGCTTCATAAAAACATGTTCTTACTCAATATCAAACCACGATTATTGTTTTTATTTTAAATCGTATAATGTCGGACTTTTCTTGCCGTCCGTGAGGAAAAGAAATGGTGCTCAGTGCCTCAGAATACTGAAATCTGTATTTTTTTAAATATTTTTTTCCTTCTAATTTGTTATTGTTTACATTGCTTTTAAAATCGTTCTGTGTGACACGAAAAAAAGAGGGAAATTGTGTTGGTGAACACGATTCAATAGATACATTTTGTGACTATAACACGAAATGCCGTGAGTAGGCCTATATATAATTCTGAAAATGGGCCATTTTGCAAAATGAGTACTTTTAATGTTGATGCTATAAGTATATTTTGATGCTAATACTTTTGTCCTTTTTGCAGGACTAGAGCATTCCTTCACTTTGGTTCTACTTTTACTTATATCTTCCCCCACCCACGTAAATAAAACAAGAAATAATGGCGGAATTCCATTTAGCTGCTTCACTAGTGGTTATGTTCATAGCACACACTATGAAGCTGGCAACACACTTGAATCTTGAACATATAATCTAACATAGCCAAGTTAATACGATTACTAGCACATGCTTTTCTTCTTTGAGAAGTGAAAAAGGCCTGACAGCTTTTCTTCAGATTTAAAGTTTATGTTTAGTACACATTTAAAAGTACACATTTATAGTCTCACGATTCCCCATTTAAAAAAAAGCAGCCCTCTTGGATAATTCTGTGGAGGATAAAACGTGGCAAAGGGCCCTTCTTTCAGAGAAAATATAGCGCCATCCACTGTGCCCTTCCATTGGAACAAACCTGATAAATTGCCCTGTTTATTGCGCTTTTATGTATGTGTATTAGTTTTAGCGCATGTGTATGAAATATGTTGTTATCATGTGATACAATGTTGTTATGGAATTATATGCTGTATTTTGTGTTGACCTGCCCAGGAGATGTATGTTCTTTTTGTACATGGTCCCTGACAACTAAACCAAATACAATAAAGTAAACTAAACTTGACTGAGAGGTGGCTCATTGGCTTTTTTCTAAGATTTTAGGAAATTCAGGTCTAGACCCAGACCTCTGTATGTGGTTGGGCTAAACCTTTGGCATTATTTATTTTAATTAGACATCTCTATTTTTAAACAGTTGATGACTGTTTTAGTTGTTGAAGAGCCACATTGCAATGTTAAGTAAAGTCCTCTAAACGGTACTAATTCATTATGGAGGTCTATTTCATATTCAAATCAACAGAAAGTTTCAACAATTAATTTAACAGTTTGTACATAATGCCTTCTCTTTTGAACGTTTTCTTTTTTCACCTGGACAGACAGTTACAATCTGCCACTGCATCTTTCTGGGGCGTTTGAATGATCCAAAACCAGCAACTGACCTTAGATGGAAGTATTATGATAAAAGCAGCTGCTGAGAATGATGTAATATTGCTGTAATCGGTATCAACCTCATTTACAGAGATTTCTTTATTAATCTTTATGAAAAACACCAGTTCAAGAATGACATGAGAAATGACTCTGTAGTTGAATAGTTAATTTAGTATACAGTATGTAGTTACTTCCTGTGGCTTTTAGACAAAGACTCTTGGGTAAAGAAGGTTGGTCTAAGTTATGTAATTCAATATTATGGCAGCATAAAGAAGGCACGCCTGTTCAACACTCAGAATAAACAATGCTGTGAACTCTGTTGTGTCTAGGTCAGATTCCTGCTCCTACAGCGGCCTCTGGAGGAGGAGAGTCAGGCCTAATAAGGAGTTGGAGTTTTCCAGGAAGGGCGTTGGCTGCAGACTGGTTCCAGACTTTACGTGGTAAGTCACACATTACTCCCATTCTTACTCTGTGATTCACCACAGTTACTGTTGAGAACATTTAGAGAGAAACACTGTGAACGATTAAGACATTACAGGTTTCACACACTACTATGAGACCTTTTTTCAAATGTATAATTCATCTGTTATGCACGATTTAGAATTTTAATACATTCATTCATTTATTTAAAGGGGCCCTATTCTGCTTTTTATCGTTCTCCCTTTCCTGTAGGTTTTTGTGCACGTTACTGGCTAGTGTTCCAACCATAGTTTCCAACACATTGTACGTGATAGTCTAAGGGTCTGGCGGTTGACCAATCACAACAGAGACGGCCAGCTAACCAATCAGAGCAGACTGGGCTCTGGTTTCAGACAGAGGGGGAAAAGAGGTGCTGCAGCACAGGCAGTATGAGAAGAATTAAAGAGCTTTCTGAACATTAAAGCATGGAGACATGTAGAGACACTACATACTGATATACACCTGAACATCAGCAGGAGAGGACTCTTTAAAGTAGAGACACTACATACTGATATACACCTGAACATCAGCAGGAGAGGACTCTTTAAAGTAGAGACACTACATACTGATATACACCTGAACATCAGCAGGAGAGGACTCTTTAAAGTAGAGACACTACATACTGATATACACCCGAACATCAGCAGGAGAGGACTCTTTAAAGTAGAGACCCTACATACTGATATACACCTGAACATCAGCAGGAGAGGACTCTTTAAAGTAGAGACACTACATACTGATATACACCTGAACATCAGCAGGAGAGGACTCTTTAAAGTAGAGACACTACATACTGATATACACCTGAACATCAGCAGGAGAGGACTCTTTAAAGTAGAGACACTACATACTGATATACACCTGAACATCAGCAGGAGAGGACTCTTTAAAGTAGAGACACTACATACTGATATACACCTGAACATCAGCAGGAAAGGACTCTTTAAAGTAGAGACGCTATACATACTGATATACACCTGAACATCAGCAGGAGAGGACTCTTTAAAGTAGAGACACTACATACTGATATACACCTGAACATCAGCAGGAGAGAACTCTTTAAAGTAGAGACGCTATACATACTGATATACACCTGAACATCAGCAGGAGAGGACTCTTTAAAGTAGAGACACTACATACTGATATACACCTGAACATCAGCAGGAGAGGACTCTTTAAAGTAGAGACACTACATACTGATATACACCTGAACATCAGCAGGAGAGGACTCTTTAAAGTAGAGACACTACATACTGATATACCCCTGAACATCAGCAGGAGAGGACTCTTTAAAGTAGAGACACTACATACTGATATACACCTGAACATCAGCAGGAGAGGACTCTTTAAAGTAGAGACACTACATACTGATATACACCTGAACATCAGCAGGAGAGGACTCTTTAAAGTAGAGATGCTATACATACTGATATACACCTGAACATCAGCAGGAGAGGACTCTTTAAAGTAGAGACACTACATACTGATATACACCTGAACATCAGCAGGAGAGGACTCTTTAAAGTAGAGACACTACATACTGATATACACCTGAACATCAGCAGGAGAGAACTCTTTAAAGTAGAGACGCTATACATACTGATATACACCTGAACATCAGCAGGAGAGGACTCTTTAAAGTAGAGACACTACATACTGATATACACCTGAACATCAGCAGGAGAGGACTCTTTAAAGTAGAGACACTACATACTGATATACACCTGAACATCAGCAGGAGAGGACTCTTTAAAGTAGAGACACTACATACTGATATACACACTGAACATCAGCAGGAGAGGACTCTTTAAAGTAGAGACACTATACTGATATACACCTGAACATCAGCAGGAGAGGACTCTTTAAAGTAGAGACACTACATACTGATATACACCTGAACATCAGCAGGAGAGGACTCTTTAAAGTAGAGACACTACATACTGATATACACCTGAACATCAGCAGGAGAGGACTCTTTAAAGTAGAGACACTACATACTGATATACACCTGAACATCAGCAGGAGAGGACTCTTTAAAGTAGAGACACTACATACTGATATACACCTGAACATCAGCAGGAGAGGACTCTTTAAAGTAGAGACACTACATTCTGATATACACCTGAACATCAGCAGGAGAGGGCTTTGATGGAAATGCTAAAGAAAGAAACAGCCATTTCATTGACAAAAAAATACTTAGACAACTTTATTGTGTATGAAAATACTGTCTTACAAACACTTTTAAAGCTTTATTTATTATGACAAGATTCATTTTTTGTTCTGAAAGATAGACTATGCACAAAGCGAGCAGGAAAGATAAAGGGGGGAGTCGGGGTGTTTTTTTGGGGGGGGGGGGGGGGTGGGGGGAGTGGCTCTTTTGTTTTTGGTCTTCGAGTTTTCGCGACATTCGGCACATCATCTTCAGCCATTCTGTCAAACACAACTTTTTTAAGTACTTCCCTTTTTAACCTTTTAATTTATTCCATACTCGAAGGTGAACCACCACTAACACATCATGTTGATCTTAATCTGAATCAGAGGCTTCCTGTATCAAAAGCGTTTTTAATGAACATGCAGATCACATGTTGTGTCCCATTAAAACACACAAAGCATGTGAGATAAACCACGAGTAAGCTTTAGTTAAATGAGTTCACATACATGTGGCCTTTTCTTAAATCTAAGCAGGTTACTTTCTATTCTAATCCATATTACGGCTTTAAGAACAGCAGTGCCTACAACTGGATCACACTAGCAGCAGGTAAAACGACGGGGTTAGTAGAAGAGCATCATGACATCCACATGCTGAAGTGGACCGGACCAGTGCCGAGCGTTTCATCTGACTTTTATATGGACAATTAAAGATCTTAGATCAAAGTGTGCCATGGTATGTCAAATCTTACTTCTGACACACTTTGGTTCAGGTGCTCTCATTGTTCATAGGGAATCCATTATGAATGTGTGTAAGGGTAGCTCCTCCAGTGTAAACAGTAACCTTCCATCCAGCGCTGGGCTCACAATCTACTGCTGCTACACTACGCTAAGCTATCCTATCACTGTACACAATTCAGACTAATCTGCTAATGTCAACTTGTGTCCATGACTGAAAATGGAAAAAATAAAACATAAGGCACAATTGTATGGCTGACCATAATATAAAAAAGGTGCATCTTTTTGTAATCCCTCCCTCACTTTATTTACTGATGTGATTGGCAGAAGAACAAGAAATGACCATAAAGACAGGAAAATGTGTCCATGCATTCATCTTTGGGAAATCCTGGACTGGGTTGCAGTGATGATGTTAAAACTTGTTGAAAAACAGAGATCTGGCCGAGGGTAAACTGATGCGAGGGTTTATTTTGTAGTTGGTAACACTGTTATAAAATAAGACACACAAGAAAGCCAGAAATCTTAATTTGTAACATGGGAGGGACTTGTAAACAATTATCGGTTAGACTCTAGATAGATTTTCAGTTGTTTTAAACAGTGGTATACGTTTGTGATTTTCAGACAGTAATGTGGTAGGGGCTGCCGGGGATGTGATCATCTCCCCACTTCAGCACCAGGATGTACTCTCCCTTCTCCTTCAGCTGGTAGCTCACGTTGTACATGCGGCTGCCCAAATGTTTCACGAGGATCTCCTCACAGGGGACTTTGGGCCCGTCCACACCAACCAGGAGCATGTTACGCCCTGTGGATGGACACAGACAAATACATACATTAATATTAGCTTAGTATTGAGTAGTGCATGGTGACATTGTTGAAGGCCGACCCGGAGGTTAGCATCACAAGGGCTCACTCCACGAAACACTACGGGATTATTCCATAGGATTTAGACATTATCCAAAAATAAACTCAGTTTATAAAACTTAACATGTTTAGTTCAGCATGATAATCTCCACATATTAACACCACTTTAATGATTCATGAAGCCTTAATGCAATCACCAAAAGTAAAAAGCTAATGTTACACTACAAACAAATCAGTCACATTGCTGCGCGTCACCACCGCTAAGCTAAAGTTGGCTAATGCTCGTGTGACGACGTTTAGTAGTCTCATTTAGCCACTTGTTAGCAACTGCTGTTTTTATGACAAGTAGAAGCTTCATATATTCACCAGTGGGATTTTTGTTGAAAAACTATGTTGTAGAACAAAACATGAAAGTATCTTGAGCTTGTGTTAACCAAATAAGTGCTAAAATTCTAACTAATTTCCAAGTCTTACTACTCATTCCTTCAATGCTATACTGACTGAAAATAAATTAAAACACTGAAACCATTTTAAACGTTGTGTTAGCATGATACTGTTCCCTTATATTATTTGTGCCTCGAGTCTTGATGGGAAAATATGTTGGCTAAATATATTCACATGTTCGCTATAATCTCATGATTTCCCCTCAGCTTAACAATGTCCTTTCTTTAAAACTAGACTTACTGGATATATGCCTCCACCAACCAGGCAAGTTGCGGTTTGCTTACGTTTGACTAAAATAATTGTCATAATTATTATTTTTTAGAAGAGGCTCATTGTGTTTTTTCTGGTCATATCAACTTTTGACCATACAAATCAACTCTAAGCTTGTGCCTTTTCAATTTGAGTCCCATAACAGAGTCTGTGGGTCAATTGAATAGCACTTTTGCTTCTGCATTCAGGGATATCAAGAAAAAATTCCATCCACAAATGATCTGATTCAAATACTAGTATGTGCCCTTCATTCCCAGTCTGTGCTCAGGATTGAGACACAAACACTGTCCCAATACATCATTCCTGGGGAGGGGGGAAAGCATATTAAATGACTAGTTAACCACACAGTCACACACACCTGCTTTGCTGCAGTCGACACTGAAGCTGTTTTTCTGGCCGACGTAGGCCTTGGTCAGGCCCGTGCCCTTGGCCACCACCTTGCTGGCGTCTGACTGGGTGGGGGCCCCCGGCTGAGAACAGCTGATGGCCCGGGTCAGAGGGTCCACCATGACTGAAGAGGTTTCGTGCATACTGTGGCTGGACACAAGCTTGGAACCTGGAAGACAGAGAGGGGAGTGAAAGTTAATTTGGCGGATATTTAAAATTCAAATATTTTTTGCAGGTTTTAAATGTATTAATTTGCTTGAAAATCTAAAAGACTCCTCACCGGTGATCTTGGCTTTGAAGGGGCTTCCGCCGATGTGGTAAGGACCGCCGTATTTGATGGAAATTAGATAGTTACCAGGGGCCATGGGGGTGTATGTGACCCTGTAGCCCTCGGGGCACTCCACACAGTCCATCTTCACCTTGGAGGGCCCGTCGATTGTCACAGCCAACGCTCCGGGGCCCGCCTTGCTTGTATTCACCACAAATTCACATGCCGTTCCTGGAGACAGAGCAGGGAGGGGTGGAGGTGACTATGGGGACAACAGGAGGTTTAGCGTTGTGTTGTGTAATGAGGAGCAGTGCGTTACCTGTGGTTCCTCCCTCCAGTCCTGCTCCGTAAGCAGACACCATGCCAGGGTCTCCGGCCTGGCCCGTCTCTCCGACCCGGATCTTAAACGGACTGCCGGGGATGTGACTACCATTGAACTTCACATCAATTAGATAGAGGCCGTTCTCTCTGGGGATGAAGCGGACTGCGTACTTGTCTAGAGGAGAGAGGTGAGACGCATGATATTCTCCCTGAAATGTGCCTTTATATTATTGTAATATTAATAATAACCTTATTTACACCTTTAATGCGAGATGCAGCCCAAGTGCTTTACAAAGTAAGACATGATACATACAAAAAATAACAATGAGTAAACATAAAAAGTAAGAAACATAGTTAAATACAAGTTATGAAAACAAAAAAGGAAGAGTTAGATCCGAAACCATAAACAATAAAAAATGTGCCAAAAATAAAAAAGTTTTTTTTACTTTTCAAGGATATTTCTTGCGAAACAATTTAGGAAAAGGCATTGGAAGACCTGAGTGTGACCTTTTAGGGTTATAACATGAAAGGCAGTCCCTGATGTATGCAGGGGCCATGTTATGTCGCATTTCCACTACAGCGCGGAGCGCGGTTTAAGCGTGCCGTGCACGGCCCATATTTTGGTTGCGTTTCCACTAGGCGTAGTACCGGCTAGCTGAATTAATGCTTTGACAAGTCTGCTGACAGACGGCAGGCGAAACACCTTTTAAAACGCGTGTTTTCTGAATGGAGATCGGCTAAGCTAACGCAGTATATGCTCCGACCGTCCACACTCATAACAACGGCCTATACAGACATAAATAAACCAGCGACTGTATTAGCCATGACACAGGCAGTCTGTGGTTTGTACTTGTTTAACTTTTTAGTTTCTGAATAGATATGAAGAGCTGTGAGCTCTGAGGGCTAACAGCTAACGGCTGATGTTGGTTTTGTGTTTCGCATTGAAGATGACGTCACGGTTCCGCCTACACTGCGTTACTATAGTTACTACCCCAGCCACTAAACTGTAATGGAAACGCAGCATAAAGTGCGTCTGGCCTAACAAGGCCTAACTATACCGTACTAAGCCGAGCGAGGCCCTGCAGTGGAAATGCGCCATTAGTGTTAGTGTGAGGGCCATGTTAGTGTGAGGGCTATGTTAGTGTGCAGCCCTGCAGGGGCTCAGGTGGTCCCCGCTGTTACCTTGGTCGATCTCAGTAACGCAGCATTCCTCCAGAGCTCCAGATGGGCTGTGCACCTTGGCATCGATCACACCCTTCGCCCCGTTCAGGCTGACGGCAAACGATGCCGGCTGGTTCACCTTCAGACCCGACTCCTGCTCGACAACACAGACTCACACACTCAGCGCTGCATCACCATTATCTAACACCAACCAGATCCTGCTGTACGAAATACTCAGTACGCTGTTACTGAATACTGTCTCCATGCATGGTCACCACAGCATCATATTCACATAGCTCTACTACTGTTGACCTTACCTGGAGGATGCTAACAGGGCTAAAGAGGAGGGCTGTGCAGAGACGGACAGCAGAGGTGTGTGTGTGTGTGTGTGTGTGTGTGTGTGTGTGTGTGTGTGTGTGTGTGTGTGTGTGTGTGTGTGTGTGTGTGTGTGTGTGTGTGTGTGTGTGTGTGTGTGAGAGTCAGAAACAGAAGAGAACAGAGAAAGCTAAAGTGAGGTTTTTTGTGAGAATGAGCCAATTAGAAAGTAAATTTAGGGGTTTCTGTAATTATTCATATTCAATATGATAATTAACGGCCTCCAATGGAATCATATTGTGAGACGCAATAATGCCTCCTTTAGTGCAGTGTTTCTCAAACTTTTTCATACCAAGGACCACTTAACCAATCAAAAAACACTCGCGGACCACTTAACTCCACAAATATCAAAAAACACATCGTTTTTCTAGAACAGATTACAAATCGCCTGAAAATGGTACAAAAAAGTGGCAAAATGTTTGATGAAGGTGTTGCGCTGGGCTATATCATGCAATGGAAAGTTAAACTCGCTCCATTGCGGAGATATTCCCACGAGAGTGCGGAAAACTTAAATTTATTTATTTATTTCAAATAAGAAATGTTATCACTATACTCACGGACCACTAGGGGGCGCTCACGGACCACCAGTGGTCCGCGGACCACACTTTGAGAAGCATTGCTTTAGTGTGATAACAAGCTCATTCCAACTCAAATTGTATCTGATGTCAAATCATTTTAGGAAAAATATTTGGAAGATTGCAGTTTTGTGTCTAGAGTTCTTGTTTTACAGTTCAATGCCCTCAATAAAAATTGTGCATATATGGAGCTAGATATTTATTTTGTAATACCATTTCACTTGAAACAATTATGTTCAAAATAGGTGGTTATATAGGCTATTTTCTTTTATTGTATTTACAAATACCTATATGGAGATACGAAATGATTTATATTTTGATAGCAGATTAAGTCCACATCACCCAGCTCTCTGGATATGTCCACGCAGGTGAAGACACTCAGTGCATATAGAGGCCCATTACCCAAAAGAAAATAATTGAAAAAAGTTATGCACAATACAAATATAAATACTCACAGTAAGTTAATATTATGAGAGATATTTAGGATGATTTTAACTTAGTAAATTGATGGTTTACTTGGTATTCATTTCAAAATTTTTGATGTTTCTTTTTTTTTTGTATACTGAATGAATTCTCTCTCTTTATTCCACAGAGTGTATATATGAGAAAGAACAGAAAGGGAAGAAAGTAGCCCATGGAGACCTCTTTAACCCTTTAGCTCCCTGCATCATCTTTAGAGGGGAGGCTGTTGGCAGCCTTTAGAATGAGGCACGAGAAACACACACAGTCCTCTTGTTTCCCAGAAGCCCTCACACTGCCTCACAATGCAGCAACAGCAGCTCTTCGGCACCTTGGCCTGCTAACAGTCACTACTCTGCTTAAAGCTTCACTTTAACTAGGACAGCTCATTTTAAACATTTTTAATTTAAACCCAACTCCACACTATTAATGTGTTTACAACTAGACTTGTTTAATCTGATACAGTTAAGAGGAAAGTTCTGATCTGCTGCTGCTGCTGCTGCATTGGAGTCAGTGCACTGCGGCCTGGTGTGTGTGACCACGGATGTGTGTGTGTCTCAGAGCCTCACCTGAAGACTGGCAACAGTGAGGCGCCGGGCGTCGTCTGAGGGCGAGGCCACGGGCACGAGGAAGGGGCTGTCGGGGATGTGCTCCTCGTTGAAACGGATCGACACCTCGTAGTCTCCTGCAGGGGAGCGGGTTCAAGTCAGAATCAATATTATAAAACCAGCAACCTAATAGGGCATGCGAAAATGTCAGAAAATCCTTTTTTTTTGCCTTGGAAATATGAAGGTCTGCTGCTTTTCTCAGTTTTACATCAAATTTAATTGAATATGTTTTGATTTGGCATAACAAAAAATGGCATTCAAAGAAATTATCAAGGACATTTTTCACTCCATCTTGACATTTTAAAGACCAAACAATGAATCACTCCCGCTGAGGGAAAAAGCAGCACAGAGAGCTCGCTTTTAACCGTCTTTGTGTGAGAAAAAAGAAAAGGAAATTCTTCTCTGTCTAATGTGGTAAATAAACTTAAGTGTTGTTGAAAATCTAAATAAGTGTTTTTTGTTGTTGTTTTTTTTTTAAATCTCTCTCTCTCTCTGAGCTGTGGGCACCTGATAAGCCAACATCCCCCACTTTCATCACTTACAGCGGCCATCGTACGGGGCAAATGGAAAATGTAACCGGGGTGAAAAGGGTGTTATCTTTACTTAATTATGAATGTTGTTACATCAAGGCTGAAAATTCATTGTTTTTGTATTATATTTCCATTTTATCTTTTGGACGTGCAGATTCCCTGTTCTCCATCAGGGGGTGCTACAGCACCCTCAGCACCCCTACTTCCCACGGCCCTGACCCTGTCCCGCCTGTCCTCACCCGGCTCCTGCACGATGTAGGACACTCCACTGGAGCCGTCCTTGCGGTCCTCAAAGGCGATTTCAGCCTTGCTCGGCCCCTCCACAGCGATACTGAGGCCCCCGGCACCAGCCTCCCTCGTCCAGATGCTGAACTCAGCTGCAAACAACGCAGGGGCCAAAGCAGTCAGTCACACTGTGTAAAACAACAACAACAACAACAACAAACTAATAATCCAGCTCCACACCAACCTGGTACTCCAGCTTCTGCTCTCTCCAGCCCGGGCCCTCCAGCACGGACCTTGTGAGCCCCGCCCTCTCCCAGGGGCCCGACGGTAAACTGGAACGGGCTCCCGGGCACGTGTGCACCGTTGTATTTCACACACACGGTGTGCACACCGGTCTCGGTGGGTATGAAGCGGATGCAGTAGGTGTTGTTCTCCCCCTCCATGATGTCAGCCTTGTGCACCTGTCCAGACGGGCTGGTGACCTGCGCCGTCATGTCCGCTATGCTGATCTCTACACACACACACAGTGTGTTAGTCCAAATGTAATAACATCCATCTACCAGCACGACTTAAGATATTTAAAGCTAATTGTGTATTTAATTAAAGGTCCCATGTCATGCTTTTCCGGTTATTACCCATCCCCTTGTGTGTTATGAAGGTTTTTATGCATGTAAACGGTCTGCAGAGTCAAAACCCTCAAAGTACACCCTGTAGCGAGTAAAACTCTAACACAGAAAATACCTGTCTGTGCTGCCCCAGAACGCCTCGTTGGAGATTTCTCTTTTTCCATTTTTTTCTTCTGGGAACCAAGTGACTAATGACCAATCCGTGGAGCTCCTCACACACACACACACACACACACACACACACACTCTCTGCGGCAAAACTGTGACACGCTGGGGGGGGGGGGGGTGCTAGTGGAGCCTCGCAGCAGCGAAACTGTGGCGCGCTTACACTGTAGGTGCGAGCTAACCAATCAGAGCACCGTGGGCTCACAGGGAGGGGGGGGCAGGAGCTCCAACAAGGCGTTTAGGACAGAGAGTGAATACACATACTATACAGAGATGCTGTATGAGAAACCAATGTGAGTTTGGAACATTGAACAATGTAAATCTATTCTAGTATACCTCAACAAGGGAATTATGATCAGTAGAAATGACCATGACATGGGACCTTTAAAGGAATATTTGTGATTGTTGTGTGGTTTGATTGAAGTGTCACTCTTCTCTATAGTCACTAGTAGTAGTCACTACTCTAGCTACAGTAGATGTTGGTTCTGTAGGAATCTGTGTCAAATCTGTTGACATTAGTTAAAGTTACTCACCATAAGTCACTGGTGACACAAGACCAAGCTGTTTCAGCAAGACCTCTGTGTGTATTAAATTGAGGAAGGGTGTGTTTGCTTTCTAATCAAACTAGTTATTGTGTAAGAGGACGAATGTGTCCTTTTTTTCAAAAGTGACCCTGCTTTAAGGGCATGTAGAAAATTGCACATGCTCAAATTCAGCAACGTCAGTGTTTTCCAACAGGGAAATAATCACTTCTGTGACAGTTGCACATCCACCTGTGTCTAACTGTAAAGTGAGATTCAGTTGCCATGACCGCAGAGATTATGGTTCACACCTGGGATCTTGAGGCTGAGGTCACACTGGCTGCCCACGTTGGCCACTGAAGCCGCTCTCCTCTTCCTGGTGATGCTCTCCTTCATCCTGCCCTCCCCTGTCACCTTCACAGTGAAGGCGCTCCCTGTACACACATGATGAAGGATGGAGTTAGTCATTCAGTTCCACTCTGCTCTGCAGTCTCTGCTGTTTTTGAGGTAAGCACCTGGCACATGTTGGTCAGCGAACTTGATGTTGATGATGTAGTTTCCTGGCTCTGTGGGGCAGTAGGTGATCTTACAGGTGCCGTCCTCCTGGTCCTCTGTGTTGATGTCCACTTTACTGGGCCCCTCGATGGACAGGCTCAAGCCGCCATAGCCTGTATGGAAGAGAAAAGAGTGCAGGAATCAGAAGTTAGTCGATTCTTTGCATTCAAGTCCAAAGTCAAGCTGCATCACTGCTGTCACAGATCTATTCATACCACGATTGAGGGTCCATGTTTGTCTGCAGGTATATTTAAAGATTCTCAAAAGGTGGTTAGACTAATATGTTCATGATCAAAAGTTAAACAACTGTAAACCAGTAGGTACAAATATTAATCATATTAGGCAACATACATGTCTGCTTCATCTATCCTTTAAATATCTTTGATTTTTTTAGGCCATTATGAAATCACAATGGATTTCTAAAAGATGTATCATATATCATAATACAGTATTTATATACAATTCTATTTAAGAATATCTTGCAGGAATTAAAACAGAGCAAACACGATTAACAGCATATTATTGGTTGATAATTAGATTAATAAGCAAGATCATCCAAAAAAATAGCTATATATTATTTTTATAAAAATAATTTCTGTGCTTTTTTTACAGATCCATACTCCATGTCACAGTGTTTGGCAGGACTAGACATTTGGCTGTTTTTTTCCTTTAAAGACAAATTAAATGAATGTTGTTAACCCACTTTGTAGATTACAATGTTTGCGTAAAAGGAAACAAAGCAGACCCTCACAGATGCAGAAAGTATGACTCTGCCTTTAAAGCCCAGGTTGAGTCTAAAAGTATGAAACGTGTGATTTGAGTCCACACATCTTCAATGAAATGTGACAAATAACCACACATGGGGTATTGAATGAGTCCTGTACCTGCGTCCCGAGTGTCGATGATGAACTCGGCGGGCTCGAAGGTCCTGGCCTCGCTGAGGCCCGGTCCACTCACACGCACACGGCTGGCGTCGCCGATCTCTGATTGGTTGATCATAACAGCAATGGGGCTGCTGGGAATATGACGACCGTTCTTCTTGATGTTCACAAAGTGCTCTCCGATCTCCTTGGGAACAAATGAGATGCCTGTGCAGAAAAACCAACAGGGGGTTAGGAAGGTGACCCAGTTATCCTTCCTGTCCATTCCTCCCCCAAACACCCACACTCACCAACATGTCCGTTACGCAGCATCTTCAGCAGGCAGGGCTCCTCGCGGCCTGAAGGCGTGGTCAGGGAGGCGGTCAGCTGGCTCAGGTCGAACTCTCCGATGTCCAGAGGGATGTCTGCGGCGGAGCCCACCTTCAGATGGGACATCCTCATGGAGTCATCGCCTGAGGACAGCAGGACGGAAACACTCAGAGGAGAGGAGGTCTGTTCTGTCTGCTCTCTGGCAGGGGCAGTGAACAACTCATTCATAGTAACTCGCAGCAAGACAGCTTCTCTAGCTTTTCTTGACTCAGGGATTGCCGAGTCAGCATCATCATGTTTTTACTTTTGCTTTTTGGGGTCTCGTGGGGAGATCATGTGTTCGGCCGTGTGTATTAGTCCATGTATCTGTCTGCCTGAAACCAATCTCCCATACTGCTCGACCCATCAGTCTTTATCTTTTTGTGCTCATTGTACGCTGTACATTGTATCACTGTACGCAAATAAAAACTCTTGTGATTATGGTTATTTACAGGTTTGGAGTAAACCTATTTTATTGACTGTTTTATACCGGCATTAACTGATGAGTGTTCACGGAATATGTAGCGAGATTCAAATCTTAGGATAGGAGAGGAAAAGAAACTGCTAGTTACGTGAGTGTCTAACAAATCAACCACATTTGTATTCTAAATTGTCCTTCTGCATATGACCAGAAGCTGTGTAACAAAAGGGATAGTTGGTTCTTCTTCTGGGTTTCCATAGGCGCTTTCACACCGGAGTACTGTTCCCAGGAATAGTTCCGATAGTTCCTGGGATTTTGCGTTTTCACCAAAAAGATCTGGAACTACAAAAAATGTTTGCTAACCATTTCACACCTTTTTAGTCCCTGCTAGAGAGGGGACTTCCCTGGGGAGAAATAGGTTCCAATTTCTGATTGGCAGGGCGAATTGCAAACCAAGCCCGGTAAAACTCCATTTTATTTGCTCACATTAGCATTATTAGCATTAGCATTAGCACAGCGCACCAATGGAGAGAGACTAACTTATGGCAACACAAAATAAAACATGGGAGCGGTGGAGATGAGGAGGTGTCGGCGTTCTGGCGATTTACTCGGAAGGCTTCAGTAGAAGCTGCTGGGAGTCCCAGCAGCTTCTACTGAAGCCAGTCCCCAACTCTGGGGACTTCCGGCCGGGGACTTCAGGTGGCAGTATACGCCGTGAAGTGGTTTGCGGCCTGCCAGTAAACCCAAAGCAGAAGAAGAAGAAGCGACGTCAGCGGCTCCCTCGGGGACTTATTCCGTTGTGAACGCGATTTACTAGATAGTTCCAGGAAATAAAAGTTCATGGGACTATTCCTGGGAAAAGTACTTCGTGTGAAAGCGCCTCCTGAGATCAGGGATTAGCGCTGTGCGAAAATGTGAACAGTGTAATAATCTATGTGTTGCCAGATCATAAAGGAGCATTTAAGAACAGATGACCTCACCAGTAATCCTGGCAGAGAAGGGGCTGCCGGGGATGTGCTTGTCGTTGTATTTGACGAGGATGCTGTAGTCTCCAGGCAGGACGGGCAGGTAGGACACGGTGCAGGTCCCGTCCTGGTTGTCAAGACAACTGATGTCTGCCTTGGATGGACCCTCGATGGCCAGAGACAGACCGCCTGCATAGACATGATATGAACAGGGATCTGTGTGATTAAATGTGTCCTTACTACTACGTTGTTATTGTACAATTGTAATCCGCTCTCCGGTCTCTTGTGGTGTTATGTGCAAGTTAGAGCATAAGTTTGAGCAAGCTGAGGCGTTGAAAATAAAACAAAATTATGGAAACATTGTCAAATTGTTATTGTGGTATGCACGTCAGATGTATACCGCTATATAGAGAGGGGCAACATCTCTTTACAACTTATTAATGTTCTATACAATATTTGTATATATGCTGCTACTTTTTATTTTATTAGCTCGTGCTTACCTCTTTTTTTTTTATATCTTAGGCTACTCATTTTATGTTTGCCTTTTATCTGCACTGTGGCTTTGCTGTTGTAAATGTGTACATTCCCCAGCTGTAGGATGAATAAATGATTTCTGATGGAGATGTGAGTGCTACATACCCTCTCCTGCGTCTTTGGTGTTCACAGTGAAGACGGCAAGCTTGTTGACGGTCCCGTGGATGAGGCCCGGGCCGTAGGCACTGACGTTGCCGCTGTTCATATAGTCCACATAGAACTGTAAGGGACTTCCTGTAAATGGCCGCCAAGAGAAGAATAATAATTTCTCACGCATCTTTTAACATTTCTGTTTTTAAATTGCAAACACGTGTGAGGTCAGTCGTACCGGGGATGTGGATGCCGTCATATTTGATGTCCATCTCGTGCAGCCCGGCCTCAGTGGGAGCATATTTGACGGTCACAGTGCCATCCTTGTTGTCTGTGATGTCAGGCTTGGCCACCTTACCTGATGGCATCCGGACCTCGCCTTAAACAGAAAACAGAGACGTGCTGTGAGATACACGTAGCACAGAAATCTCCCCTCAATCAATTCAAAACCTTTATTTATCCAGGTAAAATCCCATTGAGATCAATGATCTCTTTTTCAAGGGAGACCTGCAGCAGTAGGTTCCACAAGAAGACATAAAAACATAAACAACAGAACAACAAAAGGACATCATACAGCAAAATGTACAGGGATTACAATTTACATATTTAACCACATGTACAGGTACCAACAGCATCTGATTTTGTAGCATCCAACCAAGCTTTAAAAACATGTAGTGGTACTAGCTTGGTAATTTTCCATTCTTTTTGCAGACTGTTCCATGTTAGTGGAGCTGCACATCTAAAAGCTTTCTTCCCTAAGACAGTCCTAGCACTTGGCACATTTAATAAAACCACAGCATGCGATCTCAGGCAATAAGTACTTTCAATTCGCAGAGAGATCAGGGAGCAGATATAAGATGGTAGTTTATCCAACATGGCTTTGTAAATGAAAAAGTACCAGTGACTGAGCCTCCGTACAGTAAGTGATGGCATAACTGCCTTGGTATACAGGGTACAGTGATGCGTAAGTGCTTTACAATTTGTCAAAAATCTCAGTGCACTGTGATACGCAGCATCTAACTTGCTCAGGTAATTGGCAGGTGCATTCATATACAACAAATCACCATAGTCCAGCACAGGTAAAAAGGTCACAGTGACTAGCCTTTTCCTGGCCTCAAGCGAGAAACAGGACTTATTTCTGTAAAAGAAACCTAGCCTAACCCTCAGCTTTTTAAGCAGGTTATTGACATGAAGTTTAAAAGTGAGACAGTCATCAAGCCAGATACCAAGGTATTTGTAACAGGTAACCACTTCAAGTTGTATTCCTTGCGTAGTTACAATATCCAAAGCAGTCTCTGGTGTATTTTTAGCTTTAGCTTTCGAAAAGTGCATTACCTTGGTTTTATCCACATTTAAAAGAAGCTTAAGCTCAGAGAGCTGAGCCTGAATAATGTTAAAAACAGCCTGTAATTTAACAACAGCCTCGTTAATCGAGGGACCTGCACAGTACATAACGGTATCGTCCGCATACAAATGTAAGGTTGCTCCTTCGACATTTTCACCTAAACTATTCATATAGATAGAGAATAATAGCGGACCTAAAACTGAACCTTGTGGTACACCATTAGTAATGTTTAACCACTCAGAAGACAGCCCATCAAACTGAACACATTGGGACCTTTCAGAGAGGTAGTTTACAAACCACCCTACTGCATGGCTGGACATGCCTATACTGGCTAGCCTCTGCTTTAAGATGCGATGATCGACAGTATCAAAAGCTTTGGAAAGGTCAATAAATAGAGCTGCACAACTCTGCTTATTATCTAAAATACTCGTAATGTCATTCACCACTTTCATTGTGGCAGTGATGGTGCTATGTTGCTTTCTGAAGCCTGACTGATGTTTAGACAGGATGTCATTGTTACATAAAAACACCTTTACCTGTTCACTCACTAGGCGTTCAAGAACCTTGGCCAGAACTGACAATTTAGAGATGGGTCTATAATTGTTTAATAAGGTGGCCTCCCCTCCTTTTAGTAGTGGCAGGACATAAGCTGACTTCCATACTTTTGGGATTTTGTTCGTGCTGAGAGAGAGGTTAAAAAGAGTAACAACATCAACAGTAAAAGGAGTAAAACTGAAAGGGTTTTCCAGACCACATTGTTCTGAGTCACCGACTGTAGTGTTCACAGAAGCAGAATTAGAAACAGAATGAAACAGAGAGCCACAGGACACAAAATGCTCATTAAAACAATTTAGTATGGTGGCCCTATCCGATATAGTGCCAGATGCTGTGGTAAGGCACGGAGGTAGCTCATTACGGATATCACCGGTGGATATCGATTTTATGGCTTTCCAGAATTTTCTAGGGTTGTTCAGGTTCTTTGTGGTAACTGACAGATAATACTTAGATTTAGCACTTTTTGACATGTGAAGTGAAGCTATTTCTTAGCTGCCTAAAACGCAGCCATTCTACCTCTGAGCCTGAATTCCTAGCCTTTGCCCAGGCCTTGTTTCTCTCATGTAGGAGAATAGATAATTCAGCAGAAAACCAAGGATTGTCTCGTCCCTTCACTCTAAATGTACGCAGGGGTGCATGTCTATCTATAATTTCCATAAAACCAAGATAAAAATAAGACCATGCAGTTTCTACATCAGCACACAGATCGATTTTTCCCCAATCAAACCCAAACAGATCATGAACAAAACCCTGCTCCACAAAATGTGTTTTGTCTCTCTTGATGATAATACGAGGTTTAACCTTTTGGACCTTAGTGTCCCTAATTGTGGCTACAACACAGTGGTCACTCAGATCATTCACAAATACTCCCACAGATGAATATTTATAGGGAACATTAGTTAAAATGAGATCAATTAGGGAGGATTTATTTGGGGACTTAATATTAGGGCGAGTAGGACTGTCAACAATCTGAGTAACATTTAAAGAGATACAAAGGTTTTTTAAATCCTCTGACACTGCAGTTAACCAGTCCCAGTTAAAATCTCCAAGTAGCACTATTTCCTTGTAGTCTAGTTGCAATAAAAGATTTGCTAGCGAAGACAAGGAGTCTTTGACAGCTGAGGGGGGTCTGTAACAGCCCACCACCATGACCTGTTGACCCTTTGCCACTTCTATATTTAAGGCTACAAATTCAAATTGCTTACTGATCGATTTGGAAACTAATGTGGTTACACTGAACTTATTCTTAACATAAATGGCAACGCCACCACCTTTATTAGGCCGGTCGGTACGATACACATTAAAACCATTTAAGGCAATGTCAGAGGCCAAAATAGATTTGTTTAGCCATGTTTCTGATAAAACAATGACGTCAGCGTCAGTCGAGCTCGCCCAGATACAGACAAAATCTAGTTTACCTAACAGACTGCGCACATTCAAGTGGATGAAACCCAACCTAGATCTAGCTTTAAAATCAGCAGGAGTAGCGATCTGACTACTACTACTACGTTCAATGTTCCTCTACACGCTTTAATGTTCAAGATAAACTCCATTTAGAGGGAACATTTGAGCCTTTGCAGAGCATTTACATGCACAAACCCTATATTACGCACTACACGTAAGGGAAAACCCCAATAAGCATAATAGAGCCTCTTTAATGTTTTGGGACAAATCAGTTATCAGGTTTTTTGGTTATTGTTTTTTAGCTTATAAATGTGGACTCTCTCCAACTTTAGATGTGTAAGTGATATATATATTTTAATTCTTTCTTTTAAGTGTCTGGGTCCCTATTCTAAAGCTTCGGATGTCCCATTTCACAAATCTACATTACGTCTTGTGATTTTATTTTAAACTGTGATTGAAGTGACTTCCATTACCTGTGATCTCTCCCTTCTGGATGGTGAATGGGATGACCAGGTCGAATGGTCTCAGCCCCGCCACATCCAGACCGTTCATTCCCATTGGTCTGTCTGTTGCCTGGGAGACAGAGAGCAGGGGTCAGACATGGTGACAGTCGGGTTACAGTGGCAGCATACGTCATGGACACAATGAACACAGCGCAGGACAGAGGGACAAAGTTTCCAAACACCAACAGAGAGAATGGGATGAGACAATCATGAGATGGAATGACTGATCATGGTCAGGATGATGACACCGACACACACTGCGAGAGACAATGATGAGGACAAAAACACTGGTAGGTCAGGGGACCATGACAAAGCACACTTAGCCATTTTGTAAAATGTGGAGCAGCTGACACGCCCACATTGATCATTCTCAAAATGGCTTTTGTCTCAACTTAGGGCACTGCTGAACAGATGGATGCATAATGGTTGATGGATGAATATTTTACTTCCAGATTTCATGGGAAATATTTCCCAAGTTGCTGAATAAACTTGATTTGGAGATGCAATATTAATAATTGTTGATATTGTGCAGCTCTGTTGCACTGTCCATGTTGTTTAAGGAAACCTGTTTAGGAGGTAGGGAGAGAAATGAGAGAAAAGTCCCCTCAGAGGAAAACACCTGCAATGAGAGACAGCACACACTGACGCAGGCTGATGAAAAGAGGTCATGTATGATGAGGAGGGGGAGGAGAGGAAGGAGGAGATGAAGGTAGAAGCTGAACAAAAAATGATTTGAGAGGGATGAGAGGCTGGAGGCAGAGGTTTAGGTACCCAGGGCTGTTGAGCGTAGTACTGGGGGATTTGGCTCTGTTGCATGAGCTGGTCTGATGGAGCTCCTTCCAGCGCCTGAGGGGGGTGGGAGGTGGTGAGGGGGAGGTAGGGGTTGTGGAGAGGGTCAAAAAGATGGAAGGGATTGGAGGGGAATAAAACAGTCAGAGTGATTTAGAAAATGTTGATTGGGAACCAATCACGGAGCTTCTGTAGAGAGAGACAGCGTCAAGGAGCTGTGATCCATGCAGCACCCCTCAATTCACTCATCCATATCCAGTCAAATGCATTGCTCTTAAATCATTGCAGGTTTGCACAATTAGTAACGCTGTGCCTTCATATCTTTTGGGGATGCTAAGATGCGTATATCGGGCAAGTCCATTTGTTGGTTTAGTCAGAGCTATGGAATATAACATCATTCATCTTTGCTCACTTTATTTGACCCTTGAAGTGCATAATAATTCAAGTTAAATAACATAAAACAATGTCAAATCACCCATTATATAATTAGCACCGCCATTAGAAACAAAATATTTTTGGTTATCTTAAAAAAATGTAAACTGTAAAATATTTAGGCATTTATCAAAAATATTTGATTAGTAGATCATTATGTACTCTAACAATGATGATCTTCTGTGGCCCTGTAACTGGCTCTTCATCAAACCCACATCAGATCAGAGTGTGAAGGTAGGGAAGGCCAAATGTGAATTGTATGGGTTACCGAGGGTATGCCGCAGGGATCCATCCCTGTGCTGTTCACTAAGTTCCTGCAAAACTCAACTTAAATTAAGACAGGCAGTCTTTCTGTTTGTGTTATATTGTTTGTTCTTGATTTTCTTTTCCACTAAACTGCTTAACAGGGAATTATTTTCAGCCAACTGAAAAAAGGGAATTTTTATTCACTCACCGTGACTTGGAAGGGACTGTTAGGGATGTGCTCCCCTCCGAAGCGAACGCAGATGACATACTCGCCAGGCTGCGGTGCCGTGTAGAAGATGTCGAATGTGCCGTCCTCGTTTTCAACAACGTCCACGTCGAGCTCCGCCCCCTCGGGCGTGCACACGCTACATGTCACCTTCCCTTTCCCAGCAGCCTTGGCGTCCACTGTGATGACTGTCTGTTCGCCAATCTGGATGGTTGGGCCAACACCAGCGCCTTAAGAATTTAGAAGAAGATTCAGATATATTTGTTATGATTCATTTGATCTTATAGAGACACAAGCAGGCGCACACTACCTCTCAACATTCAGCATGCACATTCCAGAACCATGACACCAGGATGAGGTTGGATGAGATCTAGTCATGTTATTTCCATCTTCTGTATGTTGTTACTAATGACTCTTTTGTTATTATCATACAGTTTCCCATATAGAACTGAAAACTAGATTAGCCATTCCACCATGCCATCCTACCTACTCTGTTAGTCCATTAGTCTGTGCACAAAAACATGAGAAAGAAAAGAAACGGTTATGACAGTAAGTGGGAAATTAGATGGGAGGATGTAAAGGTAGAGAGAAAGAATAAGAAAGAGAATGGGATGTCTTGAAAGCTGGTGCCACTATCCTCCATGCCGAGAGAAAAGGTAGAGTAATTCCTCTACTTTACGAAGTTGTTCAGAAGGCTTACCTAAACCGTGACCGCCGATTGAGACTGATAATAGGAACGGTGAGAAGCAGGGGAGCGAGGAAAAAAAAGTGACAAATAAAAGACAGTCAGGTGGGGGTGGGGGTGGTGGGAGGAAATACATGTGCTCCAAACACTTGAATGGAAACAAACGGTGATGGTGTGAAGCAGGGAGGATGTGTGTGTGTCTGTGTTTGTGTGTATGTGTGTGTGCTCAGCAGGGACCTGGGTGATGGGGGGTGTAACTGAGGTGAACAGCGTGAGGAACACCACATATTTCACAAACAATTTGATATGAGCAGCAGGTACACCGAGGGATTACATCTTAAAGGATCATTAACAATCTCACAGATAAGAGTTTTCTTTTACGATTGTTATGACCTTTATGTCAATAAACATAATCATTTGCAGAGAGAACTTCATTAAAGTTATAAGGACAGTTATATGCATAATGGTTCCTGACAATAATTAAAACATATTGTAAAGCAGTTTTAGATTGACTTAAGAGGTAAAATGTTATAATGCCACACATGTGTCATACATTGTAATCTTTTGTGGGTCAATGCTTCCTTTAAATGAAATGAAAAATATATAATTTAAATCTAAAATATCAGTGAGTGTGCAGCAAGTAGCCTAAATACTGTGGTACTAAAACAGTTATTATAAAATGCTTTATAATGTATTATGCTTATTTTTATAAAGCATTATGAACATTTAAGAAAACTGACGTCTAGCTAGATAGATAACTGAAGCTAGAGCTAGTCACCACTTAGCTTAGCATAACGATGAAAGAGGAAAGACAACCCATCCACCAGCACCTCTAAAGTTCTCTAATGTTTATTATACATCTTAGATGTTTAATACATAACAAAGAAAACCAAATAACTTTTTTTTGTACTGTTTAAATTATTGGCTATTTCCCCTTGCTTCACTGTTTATGCTAAGCTAAGCTAACCATGTCATCTGACAGTTCATTCAAGCTTCTCATGAAACTCTCTGCAAATAAGTGAGTAAGTGCTTGTCCTACTGTGTCAAACTGTGGATGGATCATTTATAAAAAACATTACAACAGTATGATTTCTTGTTTTCCTAATTCTTTTTAAGAATAACCGGCTGCTAATTTGTGTTTTCTATTACACAATTGGAATCATCTTCAGAGCTGCTAGCTGCTTTACACCTCATTTTGCAACAACATTTGCATGTGTGGAGACATACAATCCTGGTGAGAATCGGATCTTCATCTGAGAAATATGGTAACATAAAACTGTTAAATTCATTATCATGCAGAGACATTTTTTATTTCTTCTCGTCTCATATGGGTTTTTTGATGGCAGATATAAAAATCTAATTGTGGGACTTGTGTGTAAGGTCATTTTTTAAACACATGTCAACAGCTATAAAAGCAGCAGTCCGGAACATACCTGTGACTGTGCACTTGCTGGCGTCTCCGGTGGGCAGCGCCCTGATGCGGTAGGGGGAGTATGGGATCTCATCCCCTCCGTACTTAATGAGGATGGTGTATCTGCCCGTCATGTCGGGTACATAGGACACCAGGTAGGTCCCGTCATGGTTGTCACGGATATTAGCCTTCTTAGGCTTCCCCTCTGGATCCTGCAGGGGTTAAAAGGGAACAATGTTTGAAAACAACAACAGAAATAACTAATTGTAACTGTTATTATCTGCATCATATGGGTACACTCACAGTGATCTGCACCGCCAGCAATCCCTCGCCGGCATCTTTGGCATCAATGGTGAACTCGACGGGCAGAGAGGCGGGCACCCCGGTGGTGTTGAGGCCGGGGCCGCTGGCTCGCACCTTACTGGCATCATGGGTGGGGAGCACCTTCACCTTGTAGGGGCTGATGGGGGAGGATGCATTATCACAAAAATACACTTTTATTTTTCATTCAATGCAGTAAAGGTAAAAGAAAGCTAAGTCAGTTGAAGCAAGAGGGCATAAATCAAACTACGTTGTTTTTGTCCAAAGAACTCAAATCGTATGGTAAAATCATTTCAAACTTTATGACAAATAAGAGTCAAAATGTTAAGAAAGTTATGAATTTAAGATGCACTCAAGTGCAGGGGTTGACAAAATAATGCAATACCAGAAAATGTAAAAGAAATGGTACATCTACAGATCACGATGCATTTTTTAAGATTAACCAAAGACCATTAAAGTCTGTTCTTCTATTTAGAAGTACAGAATATTGGTTAAATAAGCTTGAAGTCAATATTAGAAACAAAACATAGAAACTAAAGAATGATTAGAATATCTTTGTTGTACTTGAGTCTGTGTGTTACCTGCGTGGGATCTCCTCATCAGCGTATAACACATTAATGGAGTAGGGTCCCTCTCTGGTGGGAACATAGTTGACTGTGTGAGTCTGATCACCATTATCCACCACCTCCACAGGCTCCACCACTCCTACACACAGACACACAAAACATTGGGATAGTGTAAGTACACAACTAATTAAATTACAGGACACAGATCCAGTTTTATTTACTTATTTTAATGTGGAAATAATTCTAATCATATATTTGATGGTGAATAAACATCAGAAGACACACTCACCTTTGGGTCCTTGCACGCGGACCTGCAGGGGGGCCACTCCAGCTTTGGAGGCATCCACTGTGAACGCCTGAGGGATGCTGGCTCTGACATTGTTTCCCAGGCCTGGACCCTGGCACTTCACCTTGGTGCTGTCCACGGTGTCACTGACCGGCACAGAGAAGGGACTACCTGCACAGAGAAAACCTCAGGAAAGTCAGAATCAAATATTCTGAGGTGCTCTAGCAGTCTAGTAAACTGACATGTTAATGTTTTATAATGTGTTTCTTCTCATGTTTCAGCCTCTATTCCCACGGCGGTCTAGAGACAATTATGGCTGTGATTCATGACAGACTACATGTTGGTCCCAGACCAAAAGAGGGCTGCAGTAATGAGTCGATAAACATGTTAGCATTTCAGCACTTCCAAATACTTGTCTACTAAGTCAATTCGTTTTTTTGTAGGCGAGGTTAAAGTCAAGTGATTGTGGTTTGTAAAAAGCCTAACGTTTGAATGTATGCTCTGAAAATCATAACAGTCATGCTCATATGTGAAGACAACACTTATAGATAGAAGATAGAATTGGAGGGATGAAACCCTCTTTAATGGTCACACATGTAGAGCACATAGCACACAGTGAAATTTGGCCTCTGCTTTGTCCCATCCTAGTACTAGGAGCAGTGGGCAGCTATTGCACAGCGCCCTGGAAGCAATGGGGGTGGGGGGTTGTCTGGTGCCTTGCTCAAGGGCACCACTGCAGGGCAGGAGGTGAATTGGGACCTCTCCAAGTAGCAGTCCACACTCCACTTGTAAGTATAATAAAACATTTTTGGCTTAGCTCATCTTTTCCAATCATCCAATACTAATGGCTTTTTATGAAGGAAACGAGGCTGACACTAACTCCAGAGTTGGCCTACACAAATAGTCATCCCTGCAGGACTTTATGGTCAAGCCGATATGAAGTATGGTGAACCAGAATCGGAACCATCTAGCAGAAATATATTCACTGTATTTCTCTCCTCTCAGGGGAAAAGGGAACCAGGGGTTTACATTTGGATGAAACCTTTAGATAACTAATATTTAAACTATTAAAGAAGTTAAACATGACAATCATTTGAAGAAGGTTTCCGATTCGTTTTCCCAGCTGTACCTTTGATGGGCTGTCCTCCATATGTGATGTTGAGGTTGTATGTGCCGGTCTCGTATGGGATGTACTCCACGCTGCAGCTGCCATCCTTGTTATCAGTGCAGGACATTTTGGCCTCTGAAGGACCTTCCACCGCCAGACCCAGACCCCCAGTGCCTGCTCCTCTGCAAAGGGAACACCGCGGACATTAGAACCAAAAGCAGGGTCACATTCCACCGTAAACTCTTCCAAATGGAGAATCTTTCTCACTCACCGGGTTTCCACGGTGAACTTGTTAGCCTTGTTGGTGATGCCGCCCTTCAGGCCTGGACCGTGCACACGCACACGGGCTGGATCACAGCCTTCAGTGACAGCAACACGGAACGGACTCTTAGGCACCGGAGAGCCATCGTAGCACACCTCCACACTGTGTGGGCCTGAGAAACACAGTCTGAGCTTTAAACTCTGCCCTGAGAAAAACCAAGCACACGTGCTGCACTGTTCCTACGGTCTGAACTCACCCTCCTCGTAGGGAGTGTACTCAACGTTGTAGGTTCCATCCCCGCGGTCAGCGATCAGGGCGTCTGTGCGGCTGCCCGACGGGTTGCTGATCAGAGTCTTGATGTGATCGCCTCCGGTCTGTGTGAGAGCTCGAGCATCCACAGTGAAGTCTGTGGTCGCCTCCCGGAAAACTCCTGGAAACACAGGAGAGCATGTTGTTGGAGCTTTGGTCACATCTAGGGACGCATCAACTCCATAAAGACACAGAGTGTTTTTCTTTTTCCAAATTAGAAACATGCACACTACTACACTATGTGGAACTTATTGGAATCATTTTTACACAGGATTATATGAGATCACTTTGACTGATTAGATGGAAGTGATGGCACAAATACTGGATTCCACAGCGACAAAAAGAGACTGTAATTCAATTTGGATTGGTCACATCTGACAACAGAAAAAACAAGTTGAAAAGGTTGATCAATTTTTTTTAAAGTGCATATTTATGCAAATGCATACATACAGAATATGCACCAAAAAAATAAATATATATATAGTGACCAAAATTCTTTATAGGAATAATTGATATATCATATCATTAGTGTACCTTTTCCGTCCACTCCTGGTCCGAAGACACGGACTCCACTGGCGTCCACGGCGGGCTCCACGGTGAGCCGGGCGGGGAAGTTTGGCACGTCCTGGCCTCCGTAGCGGATGGTGAGGGTGTAGGAGCCGGGGTACAGGGGGATGTAGGTGATGGTATAGGTCCCGTCTCCGTTGTCCTGGATGTGGACCTCCGCCTCGGTGCCGCTGTCAGAGATGATCTCGATGGTCAGCTCGGCCGGCCCCGCATTGGTACAGTCCACCACGAACTCCCCCTTTTCCCCCACCTTGGCGCGCTCCAGGCCTGGACCAGAGCAGCGCACCTGAGAGTAAAGAGAGACGACTTTTAGTTAAATCATGTTTTAAAATAAATATATAATTTTATATATATAATATGATATAACTTTGACTATTTAGGGGCAATGTAAACATAACAGAATGACTGAGATTCACAATCACCGCTATCCACAACTAATAACAGAAATAAAAAAATAAATAAAAACACTTTAAAAAAGAATATAAGAATAAAAGAAATAATTTGTATTTGTTAAATATATATATATATATATATATATATATATATATATATATATATAAATTGTGTATATTAAAGTAGCATCAGTCAGAAAGTGTTTTAGAAAGTGAATACAAATATGTTAAGAGTGTGGAGTGTATCAGAGTTGAAGCATGAGCCAGATAGTTACAGATAAAGTATGTAATGAAATATAGATATCTGAATGCAGAAAATAAGTTATATCCACGTAACACATGGAGCGAAAGTTCATTTACATGTTGTATAATTCACATTTCCTCGTCTGGATGTGTAGTGTTTGACAGTAACCGTCTCACCTTGGAGGGGTCTGAGACGGGGTAAGCTGTGGGGCTGAAGGGAGATCCGGGGATGGGGACTCCGTCGTAGGTCAGCTCCACCTGGTAGGGCCCCGCCTCTCGGGGGATGAACTTCACCTGGCTGCTCTCTGGACTCAGCCCGGGCTCAACCTGCAACAACAAATATTAAAAGTTATAAAAACACATTAAAAGAGTGCATGCATCATGTTAGGATGAAAACGTTTCTCAAACTGTTAGACATTTATCATTTTTATATATTATTAAAAAGGTAATTTATGTGAGGAAAACATATGGTCAGCTGATATTCAGTTAAACATGTGCAGTACCTTGCTGGCCACTGGCTTCCCTAAAGGTGAGGTGACCTTGGCGGCGACCTTCCCCTGACCTCCGGCCCCCTTCGATTTCACCGTCACTTCCTGGTCTTTGCCGACAGTCATCTCTACAGAGACAAAAATTGGATTTCATGTAAGAAATGCTACAGGTGAAGAGTAACAGATGATTGTCACACTAATAAAACCGACTGAGACCCAGAAACACCAGCTGGTGTTCTGTACAGATCTTTATATGAGACCGTGGTGAGGTATGAGCGATAAGGAAGTACGCACTGTCCCCCAGGCCGGTGACGTTGATCTTGCTGAGGTCCAGTGTGGGGGCCACAGCCACGTTGAAGGGGCTCTTGGGAATGTTATCTCCGCCATAGGTCACGGCGACTCCCAGAGGACCCTGGGGCAGGAAGGGGAGGGACAGAGATGTTATCACACATGATTATGAAGCAACGGGTGGAGAATGATCCTCCCTCAACTTAACGCATCCCAAAGAACGAGAACTGCAGACCAACAACTGACCAAGTCAATCACAGTGCTTTATCAGAATGTGTTTATTATTAAGTAAAGTTAAAAGGATTAGTTTGACATTTTGGGATTCAAATAAGCCACAGTGATGAGCAAAGTACAAACAAACACTGAAAAAGACTTTTTAAAAAGGTAAAAACATGAAAATGTTGCCAATAACTTTCATTAAGTGAAAACACTGTGAAAGGGTTGAAATGGTAAGGCGAAACATATCTACTACTCAAAGATTGACAACATTGGGGTAGCAACCAGTCAATCACAAGGTAACCCCGTCCTTATACCCTGCCTTAACGTCTATTTTAATCTAAATGGGACCTTAATCTACCAAGTTAACATATGTTAAAAAACTGCATGTGCATGTTGGTATGCGAGTGCTTCTCCCATGGTACCTGCTGCACAGGTGTGTATTTGACGGTGTGTGTGTTGTCGTGGTTATTGATGATTTCAAAGTCCTTCACAGCCTCTCCTTTGGTCGGCCCGCTGAAGCTGCAGTCCAGGTTAGCCTTCCCCGCTGCTTTGGTGCTCACAGTGAAGTGGGTGGGCTTGTTCAGCTCCACACCTGAGAGACAGAGAACCAGTCAGTGAGTCCGACTAATCAAAGAGGTTTCATTTTAATCTCTCAAACTCCAGCAGTTCATAAAAAACTTTATATCAGTTCCTGCCGATTCATTCAGAAAAACCTCGTAAAAACGTAACTCAATTTACTCAAGTACTGTACTTAAGTACTTTAAATGACAAACTTGTACTTTACTTGAGTACTTGTATTTTATGCTACATGTACTTCTGCTCCACTACATTTTGAAAGGCAAATATTGCACTTTTGACTCTAATATATTTATACAACACTCATACTTACTCTTTACATATAAAACACATGATAAATAAATAAAGTTGGAGTCGTCTACTACAAATACTCCAAGTATTTTACAGATTAAATGGTTAGTAAATTGGCCCCACATAAAAAAAAAAAACTAAAACCTTGGAATGCTACATATATTAATAAGAAAAAATAACAAAATATAATATTCTAGAACAAAATAATACTGTAAAAAGAGCCATTATCGTAACATTTTCAATTCAGGACTTTTACTTGGAAAAGAGTACTTTAAGACCATAGTATTTGTACTTTTAGAAATAAAAATCTGAGTACTTCTTCCACCCCTGGTCACAGGTGGGAATAAGCTCTGAGCAGCACTATAGTGAAATAAAAACTGTAAAGAGAAAGCTGCAGATTTAAATATGGAGATGGAATATTTCCCACTGAATAAATACTGTTCTCTTTCTCACCGCTGCGGCTGAGTCCGGGGCCCTCGGCCTTCACTTTGCTGGCATCATGAGAAGGATCCACTTTGATCCTGATGGGCGTCATGGGGATAGCCTGAACACCAAACACAAGCAGTCAGACACATTTGATCAAACCCAGTGAATCATGGGCCATCCTCCTGCTGCACTCAGACTCACCTGGTCTGCGAACAGCACCATGATGGTGTAGCTGCCCGCTCCAGGGGGGGTGTACTTCACTGTGAACGTGTCGTTGTCGTTCCTGATGATGTCAAAGTCGATGTCGGCCTCTGCCGGCCCCACCACTCCAGGGGCACACTTGATGCCTATGCTGATGTCCCCTGAGGGCCGGAGACAAACGCCTTCATTACTTCATGATTGAGAAACTAAAATAAATATGCTTAGGGCAGTAGAACCAGTTAACTATCGACAAAGTTACATGTTCTTTGTCCTCTGTTGTCTCCACCACCTCCAGAGTGATATTTCTGGCTTTTTAGCTGCTAAATTCTTCCATGTCTATCGGCCAATTGGTGCTGAGTTGGTGATGTAAAGTGGGTTTACAAAGCAGTTCAACTTCCTGGAACAATGACGGCTAAAATTGCAATCGGAAAAACCAAAACAATGTGCTGAGGGACGCTTAATTGTTCTGGGAAACCGAAAAGAAAGCAGAGCTGTGTGATAGTGTTTTGTGATTTGAAACTACGACATAAGCAGCAATTTGATCCATTGTGGATAAACCAATGTTGATAATTGCAGTTTTAAACACACTGCAGGTCTCTCATTAGTTTATAAAACGCCAATCAAGCAGTGTTAGAAAATACTTATCTGTGAGTAATGTGTGCAACAGTTAAATGTCTCTACCTTGTCCGGCCTCTGCACAGTCCACAGTGAAGTACGTCGGCTCGAAGGCCTTCAGGCCGGTCTTGGCCACCCCCGGGCCCGACACCTTCACCTTGTTAGGGTGACATCCTGCTCCTATATTCATCTGCAATCAAAAACACAGAAGCTTAAAGACACTTTTCTGTAATAATGTCCTTTGTCTAAATGTTTGTGTGTGTGTGTGTGTGTGTGTGTGTGTGTGTGTGTGTGTGTGTGTGTGTGTGTGTGTGTGTGTGTGTGTGTGTGTGTGTGTGTGTGTGTGTGTGTGTGTACTCACCCTGAAGGGACTCTCTGGGATGTTGACCCCTCCCCAGGAGATCATGGCAGTGTGTTTGACGGGTTTACGTGGTGTGTAACTACAGGCATATGTGCCGTTGGCATTATCCTTAACCTGTACATCCACAGGAGTTCCCTCAACATCCTGAGCACAAGTGGACACAGAACAAAGAGGTGTGTGAGTATACTGAGGAGCAGAACACACACATGCAGCACATTTCTGCTGGAACACACACACAGCCCTACCTGAGCCACAATCTTCAGAGGAGCTTTTCCTCCCTGCTTGGCGTCCACTGTGAACTCTGTGGGCTTCCCAACAGCCAGACCACTGCTCTGGAGACCTGGACCCTGAGCCTTGACCTGGAACACACACATCCATGGAGCTTAAGGAATACAGCTCGACATTGGGCTCTAGCTACAACGCTGCAGGAATACATGTCAAAGGCTGCAAAGCTGTACAAGGACCAGTGTAGGTTAAAAATAATATGAATTACGGAGTCTGGGAATGTGGATAATATACAGTATATCTATATATATATAGATAGATAATATAACATTAGACAAACCACACAGTTACAACAAATACAACTCAGCAAAATGGTGTTATCTATGTCGAGGAACCACATCGCTTAATTTTGCAAGGTTGGGTGGCTGGCAGTCCAGCCAGCAGTCACTTGCATCTCCGTGGTTAAATCAGCCGAGGCTAAATATCTATTGCACCATACAGACTGACTATATAATAACATGCATTGTAAAAATATTAAGACCCCATATCCAGCTACAATAGATGATGGGGAAAAATTATTCCTTACCATGAATGATACAGACACTTTAAGCATGTTTTCTACATACATTTATAGATGGAAAATGTGTTTTATAACACCTCAAGTATTTAGATCCTCAGAGATTCTGAATTTTCTCACAAATATATGACTTAATCATCACAGGGAATATCCGAGTCTCCTCCTTGTAAATGTACAACTTTTTTTTGTATTTACAGATAATATAAGCCCTCCCTCAGCTTTGTATTTTTTGACACAATATACAAGATTGAAAGTGAACACTGATTGCCGGTGTGTGTGTGTGTGTGTGTGTGTGTGTGTGTGTGTGTGTGTGTGTGTGTGTGTGTGTGTGTGTGTGTGTTTTGCTGCAGCAAAGTGTGTATACCTTGTCGGGATAGAAGTCTTTGTTTGGTGCGTTGACGATCTCGGCCATGAAGGGAGAGTGCTGGATGTCTTCGTTGTTGCAGAGCACGTGCACGGCGTACTCTCCAGACTCTGTGGGCCAGTAGCGCACGTCACATGACCCATCACCCTTATCGTCACATTCTATCTTGGCCTGAGAGGGGCCTTCCACAGAGAAACCTGAACGGGGAGAGACAACCACACCACGAGCTTAGAAGAGCTGCGAGCGCAGAACTGAGGGGAAAATGTGGATACTAAAATGTTCAGGATTCTTTCCCCGTGTGTTACTCACCCAGTGTGCCAACATTGTCTCCAACAGCCTCCACCACAAAGTCAGCTGATTTGCCGACTATACCGTGCTCCAGCCCCGGACCCCAGGCCCTCACCCTCTGGGGGCCGGCCTCAGCGCCGATCTTCACCTCGATGGGACTAAAGGGAGCAGAGGGCGATCAGTCAGAGGACAGGGACAGCGGTTCAGTAGCAGTGTTTGTTTCAGTGTGAGTGTGTGTACCTGCGGGGGATGTGCTGCCCTCCCCAGGTGATGGTGATGGAGTATGTCCCCGGGGTGGTGGGGTAATAGTCAAAAGCATACACCCCGTCTCCAAGATCTTTTCTTTTGCACGGCTCCTCAAGACCCTCTGTGAACACAGTCCTGCACTTTAGTATCAAACCAATTTGTCTCAACTGACAGATTTAAGGCCAAGGTAATGTATTCTTTCTTGTTTTGCAAAGCATCATGGATATATTATAAAAGAGCCGATGTGGAAATCTAGAGACGTTTTGAGCAGATGGTCTTCTCTCCCTAGAAGAGAGTCGACAATGAGTTGATGGATACTTGACAAATAATGATGAAAACAGTTCATCATAAAGCTAGTTAGAGTTTGTAAGGATTAGTTGGACAGCATTTTCAAACGTTTTATTTCTTAAGGACACATATGGACTAACTTTGGTTGAGCAATACAAAGTTGTTTTTTATCGCAATGTCATCTTGTGCAATAAAACCTTTACTTAAGACTGCAATATGGTAAAGAGTATTATTCCCTCAAAGTATTTACTGTACTGGAAACTGTTTCCTGTCTATTGGATCGAGATCTACATCAGAACTCTATTAAAGTGACCAGTATCGATAAAGAGTTGATCAAACCATTTCCAATGTAAAGAAGTAGGTGGTGTCGTTGTGTAGTGTTTGCGCCGGACTCACTGGGCCCCTTGATGGAGACTTTAAGCTCTCCGGTGCCGGCCCCCTTGGTGAACACCTGGAAGTCTGCGGTCTCCTTCACCCTCAGGCCTTTGGGCTGCAGACCCCGACCCTTGGCTTTGCAGAGGCTGGGGTTGCATGCTGTGGAGAGACACAAAGAGTGAGAGAGGAAGAGATGTATTCTGCCTCCAACAGTATGACTGTGTCAGCAGTGCTTTCAGGGGAGACGGGGAAAGAGGTGCAAGGTGAAGATTACATTCATCGTTTTTGAAGGACTGCTGGAGCGCTTTCAGTATTCTCCTCGTATCCATCCATCTTATCTCAGAGGGAAGTCTTAGAGCAGTGTAAAGGAAATGACTCTTTATCCTCACACAGGAAGTGGAGTATCCTACATATCTCCTGCCAGCAGTTGCTCAGTCAGTGGGGACTTGGCTTCGACCCATCAAGTCTTTAAACTACGGAGGGTGGAGTGGTGCTTGCAGAGGGGCCAGTTTAGTTTGATTTGGTGTGTTTGAATTTTGCACGCCTTCAAAAAGAGGAAAACATGTCAAAGCTAAAGTATGGCTCTTCAGTTGATGTACAATCGTAGTTAAGACTAAGACGATCACTGGTTGTTTTTATTCTGTAACTGTGGCTCCCATTGATGTACCAACATTTATTTATGTGTCTTCAATACAAATATGTTTTTGAAATAAATAAAAAAAGAATATGAGGTGCCGGTTAGGTGGCTCTTAAGGACTCTAATAGCAGCCCACTGCTCCTAATGCTAGGATGGGATAAATGCAGGGTCTAAGTTAATGCTGTGTGTGTGTGTGTGTGTGTGTGTGTGTGTGTGTGTGTGTGTGTGTGTGTGTGTGTGTGTGTGTGTGTGTGTGACTAAACGATATTCCATTCTAATCCTCCATTTCCTTTTAAAGATCGTACAAATAGGATCTGTTGGGTCGAGGGCTGATGCCCTGCAGGAAGCAGAGGAAACCCTGCAGCAACAGAGGCTATTAAAAAGGGGCTCAAGATATTTGACAGGAAGTGGACTACTTAAGGACACCAGAGGAAGAATACAGTTATATTTTATTATATTAAAATTCTTTTTTGATGTCTTCCACACCGGCACACATCCCCTGAAGACTCTTCAGGGGATGTGTGCAGGTGTGGTATAAATGTGTGAACCACTTAACAGAAGTTAATCATCCAATAACAAACAGAGAAACATCTGTATGTTAGAAGGTTCATCCACCAGGTTAAAGGAATACTATCTTAGTGAGTGCCATGGGGAGACGACATGTGTTCTGAGTGCAGTGAGAACGTTGCTTTTCAAAGGTTAAACACCAACACAAATGGATGGAAGCAGAGCATTTAGTAAGATAAAAACATGTTGTTAAACTTAAGACTTCAAGTAAGAATACAATAATAATTGTACACTTTGATCCAACCAGGAATATATATATTGAACCAATAGTCAATAGAGAAATATCTTTGCAATAACAATATGAAAGCTATTTGATCAAACATATTGTGACATTTATTTGTCTCCATATCACCAAAGCCTACTGATGATTACGTTATTTTGAGGTTAAATGATTGTCAGATGACTGTTATGCTGACACACATATAAAGCAGTGAAATATCTACATGGGCACACAGCTCAACCACACACACATCTCACACACACACACACTACCCAAGAGAGATCCCAGGAAACAGGAAATGATAGCAGAAGGAAGAGCCTGCTCCAGAGAGAGGACAGATACCAGCAGGCCTCTATCAGAGAGAAGAGAGGAGGAGGAGGAGGAGGAGGAAGAGGGAGGACGTCCAGTAGAGCAGCAGGAAACCACAGGACAGCATTAGATACAACTGAAGAGAAAACAGCAGGATAAGCAGATATATACGAGGCATCAAATATATTTGTGCCTTTTAGATCCAAGTAGACTTTGTTATAGCCGAGAGTCTGAGTGGTGCAGGAATGAGTCCTAAAAGTTTATGAGTAAGCATTTTGCCAATTCCTGTTCTGCTGTCTCAAAGTAAAAAAACAGGTTATTTGCTTTAAATGAGATCTGTAGGTAACAAAAGCTGTTTCAAACAAGTGATTAAATAAAACTAGTTAATGTCATCACGTCCAATATTAGCCGCGGTAAGCTTAGCGGTGCTGCTAGCTTTTACTTCTGCCGATTGCATTCACGATTCATAAATCATAAAGTGATGGTGATAAATGGAGATATCCTGTTGAACAACATGTGTAAGTATCAAAACGTGTGTTTGCCACAAATGATATTTTCTGAAATATTCCGTTATTCAATAAATAAATCCTATTGGCTTTAGTCGAGGGAGCCCTTGTGAAGCGAACTTACGAAAAGCGTCACTGCACCACTCTATAGAGGCTCCCATCAATGTAAAGTGGATTTACAGGCGAAACATTAACGTCCAGAACGCTTCAGCAACATCTGATGCCATGTTTCTCAGGGATGGTGATATGGAATAATTGCTGCTTATAAATCAATAGAAGTCCTACCCTCGCCCACGGTGACCATGAAGGGGCTCTTGCTGATCTGGCCCCCAGCGAAAGTGACGTAGAGGGTGTGCTGCCCCTCCTGGATGGGCTTGTAGGTGCAGCGGTAGCTACTGTTGCCCTTGTCCTCGATGGTGCAGGGCACGATGCTCTTCTTGCCGGCAGGGTCAATGATCATCACCTCCACCTCGCCAACACCAGCGCCTGAGGACAGAGCGGATAGAGGTCAAGGAAAATGTGTAATTAGACACACAAGGGGTCGCTCAATCAAAACGATAATGAGGACTTTTACTAAATAACTACTCAATTAAGGGTTTGGCTGCATCCATTGCAAAAAGTCCAAACCTCTCTCGCATCGTCCATGTTTTCATTTACCTGCAGTGTAGACATCAAAGTAAGTGCTCTTGTTGGCGATGTTTCCTAATGGCTCGATGCCGGCCCCCTGGGCCGTGGCCTTGCTGGAGTCTCCCTGAGCCATGCCGATCTCCACCTCGAAGGGGCTCTTAGAGATGTGCTGCCCTGCAAACAGCACCGTCACCTAGAGAGAGAGAGTTAACAGAATGCTAAGGTAACCATAACAGGGCCTCAGCAGGTTTGTCAATATCTTAAAAATCATTGGATTACATTTTTTTTTTTTATTATAAATAACTCACCTTGTGCATGCCTGTGACTTTAGGGATGTAGACGACAGAGTAGGTGCGGTTCTTATCATTGTTTCCTGTCACCTTAGCCTGGAAGAAATTGTAAAAATGTTAAAGCTAGTATGCCAAGATGATTCAAAAGCATCTCCAAAGAAACCCCCTGGTTCTCACCTCCTCTCTGTGTCCTGCAGGGTCCTCCACGTACACCAGCACCTCCCCCATCCCCGCACTGATGGTCTCCACGGTGAACAGAGCCTTCTTCATCACAACGTTACCAACGGGCTCCACACCTGTCCAGAGGGGGGGGGGGGGATACATAACATGTGTGAACATTATAACAATGTACAGTAAATGGATGACTGTCTCCCACAGATCTGAAATATACTTGTGGTGGTAGCCGAGAACTTGACCAAGTTACTTGAAATGGTCTACAGACCTTGTTGTGATCAGTTCTGTGAGGGAACTACTTTAGTTCTACAGAACTACACCTGCCAACAGCATCACCACAAAGAAGGAAGTGTCCTCTCTCAGCTAGCTGATGTACAGCTCAGCAGCCTCTCATCCATGAGTTAGAAAAGATCAGTGTATTTAAATAGCACTACATTTAGAGGATAATAATGGATATTGGGGTGATCTGTCCCTTTAAATTCCTCCTCCGGCACAGGTCCAACCTCTTGGACCCCCTCAGTTTGTTGGTCAATGGCTAAAAACATGTTAATCACCCCTGCTCTAAACTGATCCAGCTGCTCAGCTCGGACAACTCTGTTTCCTCGTTGAAGTCTAGCTCCAGGTGTGTGTGTGTGTGTGTGTGTGTGTGTGTGTGTGTGTGTGTGTGTGTGTGTGTGTACCTGGCCCATAGGCACGGGCCTTCTTGGGGTTGAGTTTGGGCCGCAGAGGAGCGCCAGGCTTCAGTTTAGCCTTGGGGAACTGGGACAGGTAGGTCATGACGGAGTGTTCGTCCACATTGGGGTCAACAATCTCTTCAGGGGTGATCACCTAAGAGGAGGATACAAGGAGACAAATGTTTTTTAAAGAAATGGCTGCGTTTCCATGGTATCATATAGAGTGGTGCAAGAATAAGTCCTAAAGCCTGGAAATTGTGAGTATTTTAGCACTTCCACTTCCCTCTTCTTTTTTGGTTAGATCTGAAATAAGGTCTCTGGTTAAAAAAAAAGTGGGGAGATGTTCACGTTTTGTTCTACTACATTAAAATATGTCAATAAATAACCCACTGGTCAATGTCCAAAGCTTATATGTGTGGTATAAACGACAGTTGCTTACAGGTGACTAAATTAGCCGCATTTAGCTTAGCAGTGTTGATGTGACCGTGTTTTTAAGTCTGATGTTTCCATTTAAGGTTTAAAATTCACAAAGTTGTGTCAGTATGTTGTGATTATACTGTATTGTGTGTTTGAAAAATATCTTATTTTCTGCAATTTCCAAAATCCAATGGAAAAATGCCATTGTCCTGTGAGCCGTTGCTATGCCAATTTCTAGGTCGCCTTACAATTCTTAATCACTGCACGGCTCTGTTTGCTGATCGAAGATGCTGTTTGATTAGTTGCCATGGAGATCATACCCACATATATCAAATGAGTAGTATTGTGATTTTTTTTCCCCAACCACATGCCAACCTCTTCCTCTGCTCAGAAAGTACCTGATACGCTCTCACATGCAGAGCCAGACACACATTGTCTGATTCAACAAGCCACAGAGAAAGTGTGCGAGCAGACCCAGAGCTGAAGGCGGAAACAGTAGCGACCACAGAGTCAACTGTCAGCACGCGATGCTGTGCCAACCATGCCAACACTCTGCCAGACGCTCAGCAGAGACCCGGAGACCCGGAGCCAGAGCTGGTCAGAATCTAACAACTAAATTCACATTTTCATTCTGTTCAAAAACCTAACCAGATGAAATGCTAGAGTTCAGATTCTGTCCATTCCCTAAAGGATGCCCAAGTGAGCGCACCACCAGACTCCACAGTGTTGCAGTATGTTAATAAGGGTCTGTCCCGGGCAGGAGACCATTTCTATCTACTAAAATAAAACCTACTTCTCACACCAGTCCTGTAGTATTATGATTAGGCTGGCACTTGAAAAACAAGCCATTATTATGATATCTATATGTTTCTTATATCTATAGTTGAATAATAACCAGAGCACCAAATGGGTTACAACAAAACAGTATGTCCTTCTGCTTTTATTTGCAAAAAGCTATGCATGTCCAGATCTGATGGTCGTGAGTCTTAAATTGACCACAATGTTGTTAACATATGTATGGCACCATAAAATGAAAGTTTTAGGCCAATTTATTTTTGCTGAACTATTTGGCATAATCAAAAGACTTAAGGCCGTTGTTCAAAATGGTCACTTTATAAACCTAAATTATGGATAACAATGGGAAACATGATCTTCTATAAAGAACACATATAACAGCTTTTCTTATGAATTGAAGTAATGGTGTTTGTGTATCTGACCTGAGGGATGCCCAGCCAGTCGTCAGCCTGCTGCATGGCCTCTCGGGCGTTGTCCACTGGTTTGGTCTGATCCCACTGATCCCAGTCAGGACACAGACCTGCAGGAGGAGAGACGGGAGAGGGATTTACAGGAGGCAGCACGGAAATACACAACATGACAATAACATCAGATTCAGCACGCCTTCATAAGAATGTGATGAACCAGACATGCCTATATCTAATCAGGTCTGTATACAAAGAGTTGAATTCAGTTGTATTTGATCTGAGAATATGTAGGACTGAAGGCTGAGGGAAATACTTTGTGTTAAGAGTTATGCTCTAGGCTTATGTCATATTTATTTATTTTTGCTTTATGTACGAGTCAATTGATGTTTTATTGGAAATAGCCTTCTTTTCAATCTATAGTATCAAAGTACAGTTCAATCTACATGCCTGATTATGTCATTCTTTCTGTAGCCCTCCTTTCAATAGTTTAAGCACAATAAACACAGCTAATATTTGACCTAAATTCCTCTAATGTGTCCGGAACATTGAAATCTTCCCGGACACAAAAAAACAGAAAGGCTGATACATTAAAAAAAAACTGTATTTAAATGTGTTTGTATAAGATTAGAACATGGTTAAACACAACAAACATTACAGTCTCCATGTTTGATGATTTGCCTTAGCAACATAAGCATCGTTTTACAACATGTCTTACAATTGGGCAGCAGAGGAAAGGAGACGCCTCTCTTTTAACTCCACACTTGTTGTTGCATATCAGAGAGAGAAGTGCTTCCACTCTAAAACAGTGGAGCAGTATTTCTGAAGGATTAAGGGACATTTAGGTACACAAAGAAAGAGAACTGTTTGTGATACAGCCAATGTCTCTAATTATGGCAGACATGTTGGCTCCAGCCTTGAGGCCACAGATACAGAGAGGATGCACTTCTAATCTTCATTTGAAGGAGAGTCTGCAGTTCTGCGGCTCATCAAGCGGTCTGCCCTTGCATTCCTTCATTGGATGTCATGATGTTCCTTTATTAACAGAAATGCATATCCTTGCTAACCGTGTCAGCAGTAGCTTCTTGATATATCTGACTCTGAGGGTTGTCGCTTAAGGACACTGCTGGATATCTCCTGCTGCATCCTTTGTTGAATCCTTATCTCCGGCTGGAGGCTGTTGGTGATCCACAGGTATGCCAAACATCCCGAGCATGTGAACAGAATCCTTTTCACCACTTTCCCTCACCTACACCCCCCCCCCTCAGGGCCAGCTGCCTGCCCTCAGGTTTTAGTTGCACAGATGGGAATTACGCACTAATGCTTTCTGTGACCTGACCTCAGGTCTGCTGCAGTCGGCACCATGGTGTGCAGACAGTTATGGTTCTTACAGACATAACATACAGGAAGCAACATGTTTTTAATTCCATGTAAAACTGAGGTGCCAGTGTCTGGTTGCAAAAAAAACACTGAGGCTAAAGTTGTCCTTACTTTTTGAAGCTACGGTTGCTTTAGAGTTGGCTCTAATGAGCCCAGAGATTACTCTAGGATGTAAAGGAAAACTATTTCATCTCCTTTTCTAATTGGTTATTTGATTTAATTTGATATTTGGTTTCTTTTCTCCTTTTCCCCCTAAAGGTTAGAACTCTCCTATAGCCAATGAGCAGACAGGGCACCCAACCCTTTGTTCTGTTACTATTTAAGTATTCCCTTAGGGCTCGCTAGAAGTTCTTTAGTAACCATTGCACACCCATACTGGTCTCTTCACAGTGAAAGGAATTGGGGAACATGAATTCATGGTGATTGGAGAGGAGGAGGAAGAGGAGGAGGAGGAGGAGGAGACACCTCTTTCCCTAAAATACTTTTTCCTATTCATTTACATCAGAAAGAGAAGTCTGTAAATGAGCCAATAATATTTTTCGAGGTAAATCAACTAGCCAGTACAGACATGTGAATAGCCCTCATTCAAATCATTCAGGCCTAAAAGTTGTAAAATGCGCTAAAAGCCAAATCTGCTGGACGAATCAATGTTGAGACACAGAAAGATGCTCCTCCTCACACACGCTCCCACTCAGACACACACACTCACACACACTTTCCCTTACCTGGAGCACAGCTGTCGACCAGGGCCCCCAGAGCCCGGCCGGTCTGCCAGTCCCTGTGGAAGTTGGTGATAGGGAGCTCTGGCAGTTTGTTCTGGATCCATCCCAGCAACCTCTGCTTGGGTGTCTTCTGCTTGGCATCTCCCTCCTCTTCTTCATCCCACATGGGCATGGAGATGGAATAGTGCAAGATCAGGGTCCAGATCAGACCCAGGATCAGCTTCAGGTTCCCATCCACGATGGCTTTAGAGTCTGCAGGAAGAAGAGCGAGGGGCACATTTGAAGTTTGCATGCTTAAACATTCACACCAACGGGCAAACAGATCGTAGAAGACAAACCTGGTTATTCAAAAGTGTTTCAATAAAACAAGAAACTGGTGCACCACAGGATGAAAGTCATTTAAAATGTTCCAAAAATGATTTGGGGGTGCAGCCGTCCTTCAAAATAGAGGAAACTGTATAAGAAACTAGGAAGGACTCAATCATTGCTCTTCTATTTAGACTTCAGAAGAGAGAATCTGTAATTATGGGATTTAAATTCCAAATCCCCCCAGGAGCATCTCTGTTATCTGCTATGGCTTCAAGGAGGAGTGGCTGGATGCATGCCTAGAAATCATGGACCATGGTCTGGTCAGAGATATAAGCCATTATACCTCTTTGTACATACTTGTATCTAGCTTCAGAGAAAGCACAGCACTGAGCCCGTACTGATAGACCACATTCATCTGAATACCTCAGATGCAGGTATAATATGGGTTTTGGTGCTGCCTGATTATGCTGTCCAGTCCCCAGCTGGTTTACATCATATCAAAATCCCCTTCCCCCCAAAATAACTTGGTATACACAGGAAAGCCTTTTTCATTGTCAGCTGACGAGTATGACTTTTTCATTTATATCTGGCATCTTTCAATACTATCACCTGAAATCAGTTACAATGGTTACTTCTATTTGATATCAGTGACTCCCAAACCAGAGTTATTGATTGTTGGAAAAATAGAACAACTTTTATGAGTTCTATTTTGTTTCTGTCCGATATATGGCGTGACTGCTTCAGAGACCTTTGCCTGCAATGGTTTGCACGCTACATGGAGTCCAACAGGGCTCCATTCTTGGTCCACTACAATCCAGCCTGAGTCACTCATCTCATCAGCCAACAGGTCACATTGCCTCACCGTGCCAATCATATCCATACATAAATAAGAAGTAGACAGTCATTGTAATTGTCACAAACAAGGAAGAGCTTCAATCTCTCAATATGTGACAGCTGTCTATATTGCAAAAGAACAACAACCAGCACATCTACTGACATGTTGGGGGGGTTCTAACATTTGAGGCATTTGTCTGTGTTGTTCAGACAGAGCCACGCGCTCAGCTGCAAGCAGAGGTGGTGGTGAGGCAACCAGAAGCTAGTTCTCACACGAGGAAGAAAACCACATACATACACACACAGCGGCAACAGAAACACTGCACCGTGCACACACATGTTGCACAAGAGGAGCAGCTGATGAAGAGGTCTGATTGCTCAGGTCCAGCCGTGAGGAGAGGGTTGAGCGATGCGTTTGTGTGTCTTAGCTGATGATAGGAACACAGTCATGGAGGAACATTCTGGTTCTTGTAAGGGTTGAAAGGCTATTACGAGTGTACAAACGATTTTGCTTTATGCAGGGGTTTCTACAAATGTTTACTTTTCGGTCTGTTAAAAGGAATGAATCCCCTTTGTGACAGCAGCTGTGTCCAGTTGGCAGTTTCTCTCGGATTTTAGATTCTTCAACACAGATAAAAGTGGGGGAAAGCATGCAAACATCATAACAAACACCGTTGGACAGTCTTTGCTTATTTCAGTGCTGCTGACATTGTTTTAAACTTTTTTATTTGATTTGTTATTGTAGTTTAGACTGGAATAATTGTCGCTATAGCAGAGTTTCAACTTCAACAAATAAAGTCCTGAATTTATTTTTCTAAGTTGTTTTTGTATAGCAGTGTTTGGGACTGCAGTGGGGGGTTGCGGATTCGGTCAAAACGGAATATGTAAGGCCTGCAGTAGGAGTGTCTGAAAACTGGAAAGAGGGCCCAAACCAAAAGGATTCTAAAGCCAATCAAATGCACAGTTCTACTTCAAATGACATCAAATAACAGGAGTTATTTCTCTGCATGCAGAACTACAACATCTCAGAGTGCTGCTGTCTTGAGTTCATGTTCCAACAGAGAGATGTGCTCGCAAGCTGCCAACCCTCCGATACATGACATGTCAGCTGCTACCAGTGAAAAAATATGCTCATCACAAAGAGGGACTTTGAGTGAGCTGGATTGTAATAGCAGAGCAGAGGAAGAGGCAAACCAAGACGCACAAGACAAGAAAGAGGGAACAAGAGATATACATGTAGCAGAGAATTGCCTTCAAAGATGATTGGCTATAGTCAGGGGTGCACATAACTTTTTTTGCCCTGGTTCTCAAAGGAGCACCTGGAGATGTTGCTTGGTGCTCATCCTTAAAATGAAATAAACTGTAACTTTTGAGGGGGTCTTGACTTTATTTGCCAGACACACGGCACTGAACACACATGCAGAGGTGAACACAGAACACACATGCAGAGGTGAACACAGAACACACATGCAGAGGTGAACACACATGCAGAGGTGAACACAGAACACACATGCAGAGGTGAACACAAGACAACATTAGCACGACCAGTAATCCTACAAGCTGTCATCACTCCCCTCCTGACTGTTCTCCTCTCTGTCTTCCTCTCTGTCAGACATGGTAGCTGATGATGTAGGCCTACTTCTTCCTCTCTGGTTGAGTCTGCGATTAGCTGCTTGCATCCACAAGTCAACAGCTGGGTTTGGGTCGAAAGTCTCTGTTGTCATCTTAGACAAGTGGATGTAATCAAATAAGTATGTGAACATAACCAATAACCTACCATAGCCAATAACAATTTAATGTAACTTATTTTATTTATGTTGTTCATTCATATCTTATTTTACCTTAACATTTATTTATTTATTTATGCATTTTTTTTATCTCTCCAGTTTTAAAGGATATCTTTGGTTACTGTCCTATAGTATACATTGGAATGATTTCAAACCTGTTTATCCCAATAATTATAAAGGAGAGCCTTGGAAATATGTGTTTACATAAATTGTGACCAAACCGTTTGAACTTAGACTAAAGTTAACTATCTAAACACTCAGAGTCCTTTACCTCACTGAGCTGTAGTATCAGCCTCTCAGTCTGACTGGAGAGGACTCTCCCTCCACATTATTGTAGAAACATCTTCTTCTTCTTCCGTTAGAGCAGCTAGCACTAGATGCTAATAACAACAGCGCCAGTACCGGTGCACCCTCCCTCGCTCCCTCTCTCCCTCGCATTTTGGCTGTGAGCTGCGGGCGCCTGATAAGCCAACATCCCCCATTTTCATCACTTACAGCGCCCATCGTACAGGGCAAATGAAACGTGTAACCGGGGTGAAAAGGGTGTTACATTTACTTAATTGTGAATATCGTTACATCAAGGCCGAAAATTAGGATGAGCCCCAACGGTCAAAATGGTTTTTTCATGCGCACCTGCGCACCAGTTATGTGCAGCCCTGGCTATAGTGCATGCCACATTGTTACATTCCAGCCTCGGGACCCATGTTGCGTCCTTTTCCCCCTCTCCACAACGTTTCCACAAACACAAACTTTAAAAAACATAGTTGCCAGAAAACTGTCAGCTATAATTGTCGATTGTACTGTTAGTCAAGTCAGAATTATTTTTTTAACACAACATTGCAATATCTCTTTTCCCTGAAGGGGCTTCAGATGATAGAAGATGAGCTCGGTGCACCACAGGCTGGTACTTGCAGCAGGAATGTAGCTCCGTACAGAAGAGGTGTGTCACACAGCGGGCCGTCAGCCACCTCAGCACAAAGGCAAGCAGTGTTTACCTAGTGATATGTTGATTCGTATCACTTCAATGATTCTGTTCAAATTCATAAGTAGCGATGAACTGACATAAGTTTCACTTTTCAGCAGGAAACGGGAAGTAACCGGATAGATTTACTCAAGTACTGTATTTTGAGATACTTTACTTGAATATTTGTTTCTACTTGAATACATTTCAAAGGTAAATGATTTACTTTTACTTATTTATTCAATCCCTTTAGTTACTTCACAGATGTGGATGAATGATGGTAAATATAATCAAGTGTTGAATCAGACTTTAGTTCCACCTGGAGTAAATCCACCAGCTACCCTGCAGTATACAAAGTCATTCAGACTAGCTGCACCTTTACCAGCTTTGAGAACACTTTCATGATCAATCATTATAAAACATATCATATATATTATTCTGAAATGGACCAATCTGCACAACGACTACTTTTACTGTCGATACTTTCACTATATTTTGATGATAATACTTGACTTGAGTAATATTTAGATTCTAGGACTTTTACTTGTAACAGAGTATTCCTACACTCTGGTACTTCTACTTTTACTCAAGTACAAGATCTCAGTACTTCTCCTGCCTCTGCTTTTCAGGGTTTCCATCTGTACTGACATTTTCACATGAAGAATGACTAACTCTAAACCGATTATCCTTATTGTTGTTAATAATATTGTTCTTGTAATCTTTGCAGCTCTTTAAAGGGCATCATGTAAGGGAAGAGCAGCAGTGTGTCCTCCTGCCGGGTATTGTTAGGACATCAGTTCCCTTTGCTCTGTGATGAGGTGTGTATGTGTGTGTTGCTCTTTGATTCATGCCTCTCACACACAAAGCCACTAAACATGCAAGGAATCTGCCAGCATTCCCAGCAGACCACAGCCAGCAGGCCTGATGGAGCCCATATACGGACACAGTCTGCCACAGATCAGACTCCCCCTCTGCTGACTCATAACCCCCCCCCTCCTTGTGTGTGTGTGTGTGTGTGTGTGTGTGTGTGTGTGTGTGTGTGTGTGTGTGTGTGTGTGTGTGTGTGTGCGAGATGTAGAGGCAACAGAAGCTACCGTATGGAGAATGTGCGTGTCTGCTGTTGATGCTCCATCTGCCCCAAAAACTCCCATGACTCATCCATTTGGCTCGTTGCCGCAGACCCCCCCCCCACCTCCCCCCAGTGCCATGGCTCTGACAACATAGCAACCCCTGACCCACAGCCTGACCCGATCCCAGCGTCTCAGGGAGGGAGAGGGGGGAGCAGAGAGGAACGTTTCTGCACTATATTCAGGTTCAACATCTGGAGCACATTAGAGACGTTGTAAAGGGACAGAACAGAC